ATGTTCCCCTTGTTTGTATTTTTTCGATTAATTCTCGACGAAAAACAGAACAAGTGATGTTCACACATTCTGTTTGATTGAGATAATTATCTTGCAATGTCAACAAAAGGTCGTTAGCTGAATTCAGAAATCGTCAACTCGTTAATAATTAAATTTATGTTTTAAATTATTTCTTACCAAAACAATTTTTTGCTCGGTAATTTTACGATCGAAAGAGTTCTAAAATCAGATGGCTTGCGACCACAAGGATTATAGAAAATTTTTTTTATCCACCATAGCTTAGATACAATGTCTTTTCCCCATTTAACTCCCTTTTCAGAATATCAATTATTTAACGCGAGGTATTGAAACTCAGAATAATAATAATTTGCCCATAAGTTAGTTTCCACTGAATAGTTTTCGCCCAAATAATTATGCAAATTGACTTTCGTCAAAAATGAAAACATACATGAAAATCATTTACTTTTTGAGTAATTCTTCAATGAATGTTTTCAGTAAATGCACTTTCACAGCTTGAAATGATAAAATATATTCAGCTCCTTGCTGTTTTCCACTTGAATAGCGACCCTTTTTTCATGAATGTATATTGTCTGATGCTCAGCTGTCTTGTAATGACGTCATATGATTCTTCCCATGCTGTGACGAACTTAAAAGCCGTCTCCTCGTTTATAACTTTATTCAGCTTGCTTGAGTTTTTCCAGGAAAAATTTCCCTTAACACTACGTGGTCAGACTGACCGCCCAGTACCAAATAAATAAACTGTAAAAAACGGCATTTTGTCAGCACTGTAATAAGAGTTGACGATGAAACAGCTGTCAGATGTAAGAAGCTTAGAATAAATACATTTCGCATTGATTCAAATTCAAATTACTTGGCAATAATCTTTCTTAATCGAGACCGCAACCGATCTACATTTTACAAACTAAATTAATACGTACAGAATATCAATTTTACAATGAAATTATTTGCTGTTAGCTCTTTTAAATTCAAGGTACAAGAAACGATTTTTTGTGTACAAGATACAAGCCTGTTACTTCCTACTCTACCAGCTTAACGTTTTGTCATTGTAGATAAAATAGTTTTGTTTTCATTTTGACGTTGTCAACTTGAGACTTGCTAATAAACGAAACAAATTCTGACCTTGCACCTGCTACTTGAGAAAATGCGAGATCTAAATCGAACCTTAAAAAAGAGAAAAACAGCTATTTTACGACTCGACAGAGAATTTAAAATTACAGAGCAGAACTAGTTGACAAAACCGTTCCAAATCGATCGCGCCGATCACTTGAAGAATTATAACTGTAATTTCTTTTCCTATTCCCTTTTGATTTTAAGGGGCATAATTTTTTGAAGGCCTTCCGAAATGGTGAATACCTCAATCCATAGACAATTGGGTTGCAAAACGAATTGGCAAACCCAACCCACATTGTCGTTACTAGCACATTACGAGGAACCTTCAGAGGTCCAGCAATTTTTCTGTATGTTCCAGCCGTGTAAAATGGCGTATAACAGAGCAGAAATATTCCAACAACCAAGGCGAAAGTCCCGGCTGATTTTATTTCCCGCTTCAAAGAGTGTGTTTCGACAGTTCTCGTTGAGTGTTGTGGCTCGCTTTCTTCACACATGTTTGCGGATGATTCGCGCAGGCTTCGTTCAACTCTGCTCAGCTGCCTTGCTTGTGTGAAGGCGGTTTTAAAGACAACAACGTTGGAGAAGAAAATTATTCCAAATGGAAAAATGATAAATAGTCCCACAAGGAAGAAAATATACACGGAATCTTCACTGGAGTCACGGTTGGAGTCACTTGTGCACCCATAAGTGTCTGCGCGGAACTCGAAGTCAGCTAGTGGTATGTTCAGAGTGACACTCACTGACACCCAAATTAGCAACAAAATTGTTATCACTCTTCTTCTTGTAACTATAAATTGATAACGAAGTGGTTTCTGGATGGCGATATAGCGATCAACGCTCAGCAAACACATATGAAGAATTGAAATAAACGACAACGTGAGACCAACAGAGGCGATCGCACGACAGCAAAACTCGCCAAAAATCCACTTTCCGATAGCGGTGGTTGTAGCGTTAAGAATCATTATTGTTACCATTGTCAAATCAGTCAGCGCCAAGCTAAGCAAGATGAAATTCGTGTTTGTTCTCAGATGGCGGAATTTCACCACCGAAATACAGATTAAACCGTTGCCTACAAATGTAGCAATTATAATGAAGGTAAACACGATCATCTGAATAACAACTTTTACAGTTCCGTCCTTTTCAGCAGCAGTTGTTTTCCCGTTTAACATCTTAGCAGGCTAAATAACCTCCTTCCAAAAGATTTCTAATCAGTTCGCCCTTTTTTTTCCTCCTAGTTTAAGCTTCAGTGCTCCGACCTGACAAGAAACCTATTTGCAACTGACGAATCACAGGTAACAAAGAAACAAAGGAAAAAATAAATGTAAAACAATTTTCATTTTGGTAATTTCCATGCATCAATTTAGCTCAATAAACACCTGCTAGCCAACGCTAGCTAAATAAATCATCGTTATGGAAACTGAAACACTCCGTTAATATTTTATATTTCCGTCTCTGAAATAGCTTACATTCAAGCTAAGTTCATAAAATTATTGCTTGAAAAGTAAAGAACAGCTCACAAAATAATGTGAATACCACGCAACCCCTTAACGTTTTCTTTCCGTTTAATCATTGTTATTGTAACACAAATATTTCTATGTCGTGCATAAAACCCTTCTGTTTTGTTTTGTTTCTCCGGTTTTCCATTTGCTTTTTTTTAATCATTTGAGTGCCATCGCAAAGTGATTGTATTTGAGAACGAACACGGAACGCTGTACGCAAAATGAAAAAGGTGTTATATTCCGGTTGCCAATTTCTTTGTAGAGAATACGCCAGGAAGCCTTAGAGACAATGCATAGAATACTTTTAATTAAAACTAGACTGTAAGACTGTCATATCTTGCCATTCGAAAAATAAATTAGTAGCAAATTCAGTGGAGTGTTATTGTAGCTGAAAGCGCTTCCGCTGAAGCAAAGCGTAACCGTTACATGACGTAATATTCTGAAGTGTAAAGTCCTTCTTAAATAATAGACTGTTTATGGAGTTGTTCGTTTCCATTGTTAGCAGTATATAAAACATCACCTCGTGCATTTTAAATTCAGTGTAAAAACACTTCTATTTGACGTCAAGAGCAGATTATGCGATAAAGTGAAAATGTGATTTAGTGTTTTGTTTGAATAAACTCGATCTGCGGGCGTTAAGACTGATATTAACTAGTTACAATACAAATAAGCTCATTACAGTTAAGCCATTTTAGGCAGCGACGTTTGAACGAAATGCAAATGATCCAATATTGTTGATGTACGCCTTGTTATAGCGTATGTCAATCAGCTGTCGTAAAACCAAAACAAAAGAAGTCACCACAACCAATCAGAGCAAAGAAGAAAAACCACATGCAGCCAATGAAGTAAAAGCAACGCAACTGCTCGAAGCGCGGGAAGACGCGGGTGACCAAGTCGCGATGATTGGTTTTAGCTTTCAATGTGATTGGTTGAAAAAGTGGCGCGAGTTTACCGGACCAATCACATTTTGAAGTAGAGAAAACCCAACGCAATTTCCTATTCACTAAATTTATTTTCTGCCAAAGTTATATTATTTCAAAATTCTGTTAATAATTTGGAACTAATCAATAATGTGTATTGATAATGGTATAGGACTGAGTAGAGTCCTATTCGGTCTGTAATCATACGAGTGATTTGTCAATCACGGGTATGATTACAAACCCAATTGGACGACACGAAGTCCAGTCGCCAATTAATCATAACCGTTGCAATTTCCTATAAAAAAAAATACATTTAGGATAAACATCTCCAGAAGAGACGATGTCTATAGTAAAAAATTCTTCAATTTTGGAAATTACACAGTTTTTTTTTAAGGATAAGTGGTTCTTGCCATGGTTACTGTGATAAATTCTGAGATTAGCGGATTTAGCTGAGTGGACTAAGTACGGTTAGCTGCTTCAACAGTACGATGACAGGTGTCCCATTACAGCCAACTGTCCCTTTACACCGTCCGATTACAACTCTACAGAATGATTAGTGGAAAATAAAGCAGCTAATTCACCAATCACATTTGAAGAAACCGTAATGGTTATGAAAACAGGTATTACCTCTTTGTAGCTTCTCAATGAAAAAAAATTCACGTCACGTACCGAAAATGTCGTTTACTTTATTTCACATACAATGTGAAGGAAAATAGGATATATTTCTTACCAACAAAAGTGTAGTTGAGGTTTTAATAAATATTTTTGGAAATTTCGACAACATCGATGTCATTAATAAATAAACTCACACTATTAACGCTTTACTACTTCTGAGGAAACATACGAAAATATATTTAAGCTGACTTAATTCAATACTATCTCTGATTTTGTAATCAGTTCTCTTTTTCTTTTTTTAACAATAATTTTACGAAAACATTAGCTGCAGTATGTACCTGAAAGACATCCTCTTAGAAATGAGCAGCGGTTTGAGAAAAAAAATTATTTCTTCTCGATTTTAAACTGGGATCTTTTTAGTTTCTTTGACGACTTCTTCTTCTTCTCCTTTTTCACCTCTTTTTTTACTGCATAAAGATAAAAAAAAACAATGGTATGACAACATACGCCATAATTTCTGAGCCTAATTGTACTGAGAGAGCTTGTTTGGCCGGAGTTAAAAAAACTTGCCCAAACCGGTGAAGTGTACTCCTCGCGTAGACACGCGTGCAAGTTACGCTGCCTCGCGTGTTACCAGAGTCAAAACGAATGGGAATCGTTACCACCACTGTCTGCAGCATACAACGACTAAGACTCTGGCAAATTTTGCGAGTAGTCCTCGCGAGGTAGTGCGTGTAAGTTGCATAGTCTTGCATGCTTTTACAGTCAAAATTAATTTCACTAGTGGTCCTTCTAGACTGGGCATTTGGCGCCGAAAACTCTCGCGTGTTTCACAAGTAGTCCACGTGAATTCCAGTACCAGTTCAGCCCATGACTAGTCCCGTGAGTTTTCAGAGCTTATCCGTTCTATTTATGGACAACACAGTCAACAGACCAGTTCTGAGGAATGGAAGGATATCTGCACGCACAAAATATGCGTGTGAATATCGCACAAATTACATTAATTTTTTTCTCTTCCAATTTTTCACGCGTGATTCTACAACCAGTGATAACCGAGCCTGTCCCAGTCGTTCCGTTAGTCAAACTGTGCACTGTAATAGCGGCAGAGCGAAAAAAAGCGAGAGGTTTGGGTCGGGTCGAAGGAAAGAGGGAGGCTTAGGACGAGTCGCTTAAGGAACCCAACGGACCCATATTTCTCTCCTCTTTTTTTCGACCCGACCCAAACCTCCATCTCGTTTTGCCTCCGCCGCTACTACATCTTCATTACTTACCTGGGCTTGGACTTGAATCCATAAAGAAGTCATCCTCTTCATGGTTGACTTTTAGCGGTAGTTCCTGATCTCCAGATTCTATCAAACATGACAAGCAGAAAAATTATTAAAAATGGTTTCCGAAAACGCTCTTCCCTTAGGAAAGAACTCAGTATCTATTCTAAAAGAACACGCACAAACATTCACCATATCAGTATGTTTCATCACATTTGCCAAAACATTTAGTGGTCAACGCGCTGAACCGCAGATGCAGAGGTCTGGATTCGAAAACTGCCCAAGTCATTGTGTTGTGTCTTGGTGACAAGACACTAAGCTCTCACCATGCCCCTCTCCACCCAGAATTGTAGATAGTTTAGTGGGAGAGCGCTTGAGTATAAAATATCCTTGCTTGGGAGGTTTTGTAGGTTTAAGGGTTTTCCAACTAAATATATACAAAGTGCTCACAGAAGTTAAGAAACCTGGGAATAATCAAGATAAAAGTGGAGACTTGCGCTTCTACTCTTGCCAGTCGTTTTAAATTTGCAATGTGCAGAGTAGTGGCTCTGCATGCGCAGTTTAATACTAAATGCATCTATTGGCAGTTGCGTTTTGAACTCAACACTGCCTACCCTGATGAGAGGGTGATTAAACCTTTAACTCCCAAATCAAATTTGTAATTCTCCTCACCGTCAACCATACAATTCTTATAATGTTAGTTTAGAGAATTTAGTATTGGATCAACCTGTTATCCTCAAATTGATATTTTTCTTTATTCTCACCACTTATCTGGTTGATATTGTATAGATATAGTAAGGAGAAATTCTCTCTTGGTCACGCATGGGAGTTAAAGGGTTAAGTATTATCAACTGAGTTGATTACGTAAATTGGCCACCATAAAGAGTTTAAAAGCTGACGTTTCGAGCATTAGCCCTTCATCAAAGCAATTGACAAAGGACTGATGCTCGAAACGTCCGCTTTTAAACTCTTTATGGTGGCTAATTTACCAAATCAACTCAGTTGATAATGCTAAATTACCCTGTTATACTCTCCCACCAACACAGCACCACAGTTTCTGCAGAAACTAACCCCCTCTATCCCAATGAGGTCTGGCACTGGTATAGAGGATGACCTCATGGAGCCATTGCCGAAATTCCACACAAAAATGAAAGTTCATTTCTTGATTCAACATTTTCCTTAGCATCACTGTCCTGACTGCTTAGGGTCCATAATTAAAGGAGCTCCACATCTCCCATGGCAACCATCATTATTAACACAACAAATTGTATCTCACCATCTTCACTGCCTCTTTTTGTAGCAGCTCGTCCAAATTCTTCATCACTCAATACCACATTAGGTTTTTCCTTTTTTGCTCTTTGAGATGCTTTGCCCATTTTCCAAATTGTACTGGATGCATCCACCAACTCACCAGCTTCCACCTTCTTTGCAATAGTTTCCTGGATTTTTTCTGCAAATTGCATAAAAATAAAATCAACTTAGGTTGAATTTTATGTGGATAAACTTGAATCAGGGTAAAAAAAGCTATGATAGCACTTGTTTTACTTTACTCTGCTCAGTGGTTTGTACATAAAAATTGTGCCCCTCTCTCAACTGAAGAGATACAAAACTAAAACACTCTCTTGTGTTTTTCTGTGTTCCAAGCAATTTGCTTGTTGTTAATTTACATTCTCATTGGCACCTTGTGATATTTTCCCTTAATCTGATTGGTTGTTGTGATAATTCTGGGCTGGTTTTGCCAAAGTCATTCTTATGAGCTAGGTTCATGTTTGTTCCAGAGGGAAATGTATTCTTTTGAATATATAAATTCCAGGATTTTTCTGCAGCTTTTTCCACACTGATATAGTAAACATTATCCCAATATGTAACTAAATCATAGATAACTGTACCTTGTTTTGCAACAATTTCTGCATTAGTATGGGATGTCAGCGGAAATAATGAAATATACTTTGTGTTTTCTGGAAAATGCTACAAGAAGATAAAACAGTGTTAATTGAGCAAAAGATTATTTTCAAATTACAATAACACCACTTTGACAAGAAGAAAAAATGACACTGAAATGTGGTTCATTAACATGATGGTAACATGATCTTGGACAGCCCCCGAGAAAAGACAATGTTAGTATATACCACACAGGTGTATAGTGTTTTTTTATCCACGTTGATTGGCTGGTTGAGAAGTGATTGGCATGTATTGTTCAATTTTGAACAACCAAATTTATCAATAATTTCTGACCATTCTTTGGTATATTGACGGAAATAAACTGATTTTTTTCGATTTCTGTGTGGTTTATACACAAACAATTATTCTAGGTACTCTTGGGAGTCATAGGTTACACCAGGTGCTTAACTCCTGAACACTGCCAAAAACAAAACCAAAACCAATTCAAGAGGAAACTAGGACAAAATTAAAACATTTTTTAGACAAATTTTATCAGACACCAGCCTTTGCTTACTTGAACATAATTCCACTGCTGCTTGATCTCCTCAAGTTCTTTCAGTGCAGAATTCCTACAAAAATTTAGATCAAATAAAAACATTTATATTATGCAAAAAACCTACATTAATGCATAGAACAGAGTTGTAATAAATTCTTCACCTCTTACTTTTGAAATACATAGGCATTTCTTTTTTATCATTGTGTCTTAATTCTGAAGTGAATGGTGGAGTAATGTGTTACTGTGTATAACAGGGTACTTTGGTATTATCAATGGAGTTGTTAATATAAATTGGCCACTGTAAAGAGTTTCAAAGCTGACGTTTTGAGTGTTGTTCCTTTGCCATTTGCTCTGACTAACCTTGTTTCAATATCCTCTGCATCACTGAGCTCTTTCATACAAGATTTGAACCTTCTAAAGATCTTTTTTTTCTCTGAAAAGAGAAAGAAAAAACAAGAAAAAATTTAATTTTTTTTAATCTGAAAACAAAAATATTACTAGTCGGATCTTTTACTTAATTTGGATACAAAGTGTAAACCATGGATAGAGAGTAATGAAGTGTTACCAACTGAATTGAAAACATAAATTGGCTTTAAAATTCAACTCAGTTGTTAACACTAAATTACCTGCTATACTTGCCCACTGACACAACACCAGAGTTTCTTTAGACCCCCTTTATTCATGGATAGAAAGGGTGGCAACTCATATCTATGATGTTAAAATAAATAAAGACTTCTACTTTAATTGGTTTCTGTTTGGAGGGAGATGCAGGGGCCTTAAAGTTAGTGTGCTGGACTCCAGGGTGAGCACTGACCAGGTCATTCTGTTGTGTCCCTGAAGCAAAATAATTTGCTTTGACATTCCTCTCCTCACCCAGGAGTATATATGGGTACCAGCCGACTATCAGATAAGTCTGGTGAAATGCTGAGGGAAAACCTTGCAATGGACCAGCATCCCATCCAGGGGGGAGTAGTGATACTTCTAGTCTCTTCATACAGATCAATATCAGTTTCTGGGCAACTGCCCACCTACCCCTACCCTAACCCAACATTAACCCTAACTTGTTATCAATTGACTGTTGTTGAGTTAGGGGAGGGGTAGGTGGGCAGTTGCCCAGATACTGATATTGATCTTTTGATGCTACAGAAACTGCATAAGCTCCTCCTTGGCTCAAGCACACACTTTTTTTTCCTTTGGTTTGTGCAAAATAATGTATTTTCTTTTCTCCTCATGATTTTTTCTCAAAATTTACTTCATTATGCAGCTAAACCTCAAATTTACATACAATAAAGGTGTCAGAATCACCAACCAAAGAATTTGACTTTTTTAGATCTTTTCTCAATCCTTCTCTGTTTGTCTTCCTTTGCTTTATCTTTAATTGTCTCTTTTAGGACATCAAGCATGCGTTCCTGAACAACTCTCACTGTTGCTGGAAGATCACTCTAAAAAAAATTGGAAACACCAAATTAAATTTTAAAAAATTTTTCATTCAAATAAGACTTTTCTTTCAATGTAAAGCAATACAGTAGTCTACATTATAAAATAATTCAAATAGTATGCGCACTCTGATTGGCCATAAAACCATTTTACATGAGCGTATGTAAACACGGTTTTCGTTCCTCTTTCTTTAGTTATTTTATAAAAGAAATGTAAAATGGTTTCCGTATGTTTACATAGCCTGATGTAAACACGCGGGAGGTTGGGAGAACACTCGATAAGCTGGAAACCACACCGCTTTGCGTCGTGGTTTCCTATGCTTATCTTGTGTTCTCCCAACCTCCAGCGAGTTTACATCAGGCTATGTAAACACGGAAACCATTGTACATTTCTTCAATGGAATTGGTAGTTGTTGAGAATACATATTTTTGGTTTTTTTTTTTGAAGGATGGGAGAGATGAAAAACCAGTAATCTCAAAAGCCAGGGAGTTGAAAAACTTTGGGCTTTGATAGAAAAATGGTAAAACTGACAAATATAAATGTCCTAAGTAATTGTAGGCTAAAGGTGTTTGCACACCTTGTGTTGTAGCTGTGGATTTTGTTGTGTCTTATTTCCCCTTACTGCATCACTTATGAATCAAACATTTCAGTCATGAGAATTAAGAAAATGATCATTAAATTTGTCAGTACTTGTCAAACCTCCTTGTCAAATGCATAGTGAACAGTATGGATAATAATTAAGCATACAAGTTTACTACTGTGACTACAGCGACCGTGAGCTTTTTTTGCGCCTCAATTCATCTTACAATCTCGTGATATAAGGCACTAACTTAATGAACGAGAAGAAACAAGATCACTGGAACAGTACAGAAGACAGAACGTAACTGCAACGAGCTTTTAGTTTCTCTCTTTTTTTTTCCAGGGCCCTCTGTGGAAAATTAAGGCTTAGCGGTTTCTCTTAATGCTGAACAAAACTACCTCAAACAGCTGACGAACAAATTAATGAACACGCTGCAAATAACAGCTAGAATGTATTTGTTCGAATATTCGAGTTGTCTCACCTTTTTAAGCAGTCTCTGTACGTCTCTGACCTTATTTTTAAGGGATTTATTATGTTTGATCTTTTTACCATCGCCTTGCGAGGCCTTTGTGAGACGGTTTGATCCCTGATTTCTGTATCGTGGACCCATGATGGCCAGCACTGCTATGTTGAAGGAAGCATGGGCATTTGTAAGGTGGCGACGTGAAGCACAACCGAGGAGTACTAAAAACCAGTTTCCGAGTCGGGCGGTCCTCGGAAATTGTCGACAAAATCTAACAGTTGAACGACGTTGATAACCTACATGTATATATTTTTAATTCAGCTAACATGTTAAGACTACAGGATAAAGAGTAAATCAAGGAACTGTTTTCTACATGCAGGTAAGCACAACAGAGTGCTTTTAAGGAGGCGCACGCTAAGGCACGGTGCCCGCGATATCTAAGTCAGCGTTTACTCGCTAAGGGAATTAACTTTGAAAAAAAAAGGAATGAGAAATGGAGGCATAGAGGGGAGGGAGGAGAGACTGATCGGTGTCTCTTTTTAGACCATGATTCGCTGTTCTTTACAGGCACTAAGCAAAGAAACAAGAGAAAAATTATGAAAGAAAAGATTTCTTTTCTTTGTCTTATTTTTCAATGTTTTATCTTATTCCCAAGACACAATGAACTTCCCCTACCGCTCTCTGTCACAAAATGCAAATTCTTCTCTTAGAGTCGACCAAGTCATGAATGGTTTTAAGTGAGCAAATGATATCGTCTTTCAGTTAGACACTCAGAAGATCTCCGCCAAAACAACTTTCTTGTATAATTAAGTTACTTAACCAGCTTTTCATCGGAAACGTGCTTTCATATGCATATATCACCTGGTGATGCACGGAACACTAAAAATTCGTTTCGAGACAGCTTCGACGGATCTATTGTCCGAGGCGCTTCTGCAACGTCTCGTCTGAAAACCACGGCCATTAGCCGTGTATGAAAATTAAAATAAGGACATTTAATGATCTCCCAAGTGAACTCTTCACATGTCCTATTAGGTATCATGGAGAATGAACACCACGATGCCTTCAACATTTCAAAAGGAGGCTATTGCACAAAATCCTGTTACGCCAAGCTCATCCAGGTTACAAAAGACCAGAGCGTATCGATATACATTGGGAGGAAAGAAGATTGGCAGCAAAGGCTAAATCGAAAGATTTTCAAAAGTTTCTTGATACGTGGAAATTTAGGTTCGACCGAAACGATAAAATATCATTGTTGTTTTTTTTTCTACACAAATTCTTTCTGTTGTATTCTAATATAAAAAAAACTGTGAATTTTTCAAAAGATGCGCATGTTTCGTTATAATGGAAAATGGACGTTAAATTATCTATCCCGCGATAAAGTGATGTGGTTCGCCGCTGTTAAGGCGTTTTACTCGCTTGAGTTCGTCCTCCTTTTAAAAATACATTTTTGCTTTTCTTTAAACAGAAAACTTCCCCTGAGCGGAAGAATATTCTCGGTGTTGAAACAAAAATATTCGATAACTCCCTTTCTTAGCCGCAGAGAAAATAAAACCCACATTCGCTGTCGCCCAATAGTGGTGCTTATAATATCTGATTCAGCGGTTACTTACTAGAGCGATAAAGAAGACGACCCCTCCCCTCCCCTCTCATTCTCGAAGTGCACACTTACTTCCGTTTCCTTTCTGGGAATCGAAAGCCCGAAGAACTCCTGAAATTAATTCTTGTGCAAAGTTAAGTCGAGAAAACGGATTTTACTTGCTGTGATTGTTTTAGTGGATGCTTCGGTGCCGTATGTTCTGGAACCCCTTAATAACAAAGCCAGAAGTCTCAAAGGTAACCTACTACTTCGCACTTTGCCACCTTTCGACAAAGGCCTGTTTACATATATAATGTTTGTTAGTACGGCGCTATGCGGAAATATTGCTGAAGATAAGTACTGTTAGACACACTTTTGATCGAAAATTCTAATGTACTCACCATTTTGACAAGGCCACACAGGCAATTTTAAATGCAAGTGAAATAATAATAACTATATGCACTGCTTTTTTTGTTTTTTTTTAAATACCGTTACCATGGTCCATAAGTGTAGAACAAAGCAGGCACCACCTTATCTTTTTTATTTATTTCATGACAGATTTAGTGTCGGGACGCAACACTAGAAATATGTCTCAGTTAAACCTACCTAAATGCAGATTATCAACTGGCCAACACTCTTTCGCATTTCGCGAATATAACCTCCTTCCAGGAAACATTTGAAGCACAAACGATGTTTTAAGTTTAGAAAGGAAAGTGGCCCATTTTATCAGAAACTCTTCTTAAATGGATCTTTTAACCTTTATACGAAATTATGTTAATTATTATTATTATTACTATAATTTTTTGTGTCTTTTTTCTTTGCAACACATCTAAACATTCTTTTACCCATTGTAATTTATTATATAAATATTATTGTATCACGACAGAATAGCCTCGTATAGGGGGGGCCGTAATAATAAAGTGTATTGTAATATGTATTGATCCTGATGTCACGCAAGCAGAAACTCGTTTAGTGAATTGTTGTGTGACATTCACAAGAATTGCTTTGAAGGAGACTATCAATTTAAAGAAGAATATTCAATTCAGATCGCCTTTATCAGACACTCAGTTGCACTTCCATCTAAGAAAGATGGGCTTCTCTTGGTTAGGAGTGTCTGTATGATTACAAACTCGTTTATTTCGTTAATTGCAATTACATCTCTCAGTTAGTACGTGTGCTATTCTCGGTCAATTTGACAGTACGTATCTCACGGTACGCCCGCTGAATTAAAAACTTTGTTCGAATTGAAATACTCCTCCTCTACTTAAACCCAGAGAGATAGAAAATATCTTACTAACCTCGTTTTCCAGGCCTGTTCTTAAATTATAAGTTACGGAACCTCGCTTTTTCCGCTCGATCGGATTTAATTAAGAGGTACTGATTTACCTCCATGCATTTGCTAAAGGATAGATCCTTGCCATGAAGATTTAAATACAAAAACGTGAGCTCTTGACAGATTCAGAAGTATTGAATTTATACCCACTAAGAATAGGTTTCCCTGATAGAAAATGCATGCACCAAATAAGAAAACTCTGGGAATACACAGACATCACGATTATGGCTATCGTTCACTGCCATAGATGTCTCCTAGGACATTGTGTGTCCTGAACGTTTCCAAAAACCATGAGTTCTTTTTGATAGAGCACTAATTTAAGTTTGCTGTTTTAAAATATATTTTCAAACTTAGATATCGCTCGAATTTGCAACCCAGGGATAGCAATCCACCCACTTGCGTACTGGAAGATTGGGGGATAAAGCAATGGAATTGGAAGATAAGGTTAAAAAGCTAAAGGATGAGTTCCAAGGTTTGCCAAAGCCTCTCTTTCGAGCAATTCTTTGCAACAATAAAGTTAATGGGGACCTAACAGCAGCCGTTCGGTGCTTACAACAATTTGAACCAAAGAAAAATACCAGGATGCGCAATCTACCGGCGACAGCCGCTGACAAGGAGTTGAAAAAGGGGTTAAGTTGTACCCCCCTGGATGGACTCAGCCAGAAGGAAAACAACTGGACAGGAGAAGGTAAAATAGAGCAGCAGAAACTGCCCTGACTTTAAACTTTAAATGCTGTATTATTCGACGACATGCCAAGAAAATGCGCAAAAGAGGAGTAAAGTGTTAAGTAGTCAGCGTTTACTAACTGAACTTAGGATGCAGAAGATCCATAATTACAACATTTCGTTCCACGGACAGTGAGTTTTTTTTATTATACTTCACAGGGAAAAGGAAGAGGTCAAAACCACAACCATCAACTCTCTCAGAACGATCAATGAAAACACCGCCACCGTCACAGTCCAGCAAGCCAGCACCACCACCAAAGCCACAATCCGCTCGATTACATTCACAATCCAGCATACCAAGACCATCTGTTGCAACGAAACTAAGATCAACTCAGTCACCGCCACAGACCAGTAAACCACCACCGCCTCCTGTTGCTCCGAAACCACGATCAACTCAGCCACCGTCACAGACCAGGACCGGTAAACCACCGCCAGCTGTTGCTCGGAAACCAAGATCAACTCAGTCACCGTCACACACCAGGACCAGTGAACCACCACCGCCCCCTGTAGCTCTGAAACCACGATCAACTCAGCCACCGTCACACACCAGGACCGGTAAACCACCCCCGCCACCTGTAGCTCCGAAACCACGATCAACTCAGCCACCGTCACAGACCAGGACCGGTACACCACAACCGCCAGCTGTTGCTCGGAAACCAAGATCAACTCAGCCACCGTCACAGACCAGGACCAGTAAACCACCCCCGCCACCTGTAGCTCCGAAACCACGATCAACTCAGCCACCGTCACAGACCAGGACCGGTACACCACAACCGCCAGCTGTTGCTCAGAAACCAAGATCAACTCAGTCACCGTCACAGACCAGTACCGGTAAACCACCCCCGCCACCTGTAGCTCCGAAACCACGATCAACTCAGCCACCATCACAGACCAGGACCGGTACACCACAACCGCCAGCTGTTGCTCGGAAACCAAGATCAACTCAGTCACCGTCACAGACCAGGACCGGCAAACCACCCCCGCCACCTGTAGCTCCGAAACCACGATCAACTCAGCCACCGTCACAGACCAGGACCGGTACACCACAACCGCCAGCTGTTGCTCGGAAACCAAGATCAACTCAGTCACCGTCACAGACCAGGACCGGTAAACCACCTCCGCCACCTGTGGCTCCGAAACCACGATCAACTCAGCCACCGTCACAGACCAGGACCGGTACACCACAACCGCCAGCTGTTGCTCGGAAACCAAGATCAACTCAGTCACCGTCACAGACCAGGACCGGTAAACCACCTCCGCCACCTGTGGCTCCGAAACCACGATCAACTCAGCCACCGTCACAGACCAGGACTGGTACACCACAACCGCCAGCTGTTGCTCCGAAACTACGATCAACTCCATCATTTTCAAAGTCCAGCAAGCCAGCACTACCACAAAAAACAGAATCAACTTCAACACCCTCACAGTCTAGCAAACTAATACCACCACCTGTGGCACTGAAACCACAATCAATTCGATCACTTTCGCAGTCCAGCAGGAAAGCATCATCACCCAAACTACAGTCAGCTCCACCACCTTCACAATCCAGCAAACAAGAGCATCCACAAGAGTTAACTCATTTACTCTCACCGTCCAGCAGGCAGGCATCGCCACCAAATCCAAAGTCATCAGGATTTGCAAAGCAAGGAATCGATTTCAAGCCGGAAGCAGGTAACACTAACTTTCGATTAAAAAATGTAAAAGCCAAGAAAGTCAATTTGCGGAGTCTGTAATCTACCGCATTGTTTACAGTTGTATGCCGTTGCATTTCGGTGCAGCCACGTCTTGGCTAGGTGTACTTCACCCAACTTATAGTTAACCCACAGGTAGTGTAAATTTTATTTTAATCCAACTGCAAATCTTTATCACTTTGTGAAGGGTCTTTGTTTGTCCTTTAAATTGACGATTATAGTGCCTAAGACCTCAAAAAAAAAGTTATTCATGAAATCTAGACCTGTTTGTGTAAATCAGCCCTCCATTAATGTAACATACTAGGTTTGTGTCCATAATAACGTTCTTGCGTGGTAATAAGCAACAATCACGTGATGAGATGAGAGGCGAGGTCAAACTAATAGCTTCTTTTTCTCAAGATAGGCTCTCCGTTGAAGTAAGAGCCAGTTTCCAACATTTAAGAAATCTCACATAATAGCGGAGATTCACTTTTTAACTAAAGCATTTTATCTCAAAGGAAACATTTTACCAGAAAACTGGACACCAATGTCACACGATAACGAAGGAAACGGCATCAGTTTTCACTTGGTAAAACTTGATAGCTCTTCACCTGAGTACCAGAAAGTCATGGATAGAATTTTAGAGACTCTCCATTCAGTTGATATCGTGAGTATAGAACGGGTACAAAATTATTATCTGTATCAAGCTTATCAGTTGCTGAAGCAAAAGATGGAATCTGACAGGGGAGAAAGCAACGAGCGACAATTATTCCACGGCACCACTCCTGACAACACAAAGAAAATCAATTACTCAGGATTCGATTGGAGATTCTCTGGATTTGCCCACGGTAAGCATTCTTTCCTAACTAGGAACTGGTTGGCTCAAATGACCACCACGAACCGCATAATATCAAGCCAAGCTTTAATAATTATTCGATTTCAATGGCGAGTCGTTACAACAGTCTCACTTTACAGGTTAGCAGATTCTCCAGATAAGGATAACAACAAAATAACTTCGTTCTCACTTCGATTCTGCTGAGTAGAATCATTGGTGTATAAACTATACACTGATATGCTTTTTTAGCCCGATTAACGCCTGCATTTTGAGAATTCTTTCATACAAATTGGTGAACTTTTAATATACAAATGAAGGTCGAAGAGAAGGGTCTCCTTTGATCACGTTGGTATGAAAAATATTTCAATTGAAGTGTCCATATTTTGTCTGTGAACGAACTGAATACACTTTGTAACTTGTCGCGAGATATGATTCCGTGAGCTACATTATTGCAGGCGCAGCGCGCTGGACAAAATCTGTGAAATTTACACATTTGATCGCTTTCCACGTGGGTGGTCTGGCCAAAAATCATTTTTGGCTTGTGGCCACACAAAAAAATAGAATTGGAGAACAACTGAACTATTTTTGACACGTGTGTCCTAAACCCTTTTCATGGGCATAAGATAAAAGAAAAGTTTTTTTCGACAGGAAGTCGGCACTTTAAACTCAAAAGCATAACAAGTGTTTTCCGTTTTAAACGGCAAATTGTCCATTATTGTGTTGGAACCAGTAAATAATCTGACCGGCTGTAAGCACCTAAAATCATACAATATCGGTCCACTGTAAAAGTACAGAACCAAAGATAACATATTTTGTACGAGGTCTTTTCTCGCATATCATGTGATTTTGTCACACACTCGACCTAACGTGACACATTACATAACGCCACACAAGCAGTTTTACAAAAGGTTCCGTGTCCTTCAATACCAATTCAAAATCGCACTAGAAATGACATAAATTATTACTCCCATTTTCTTCTTTTGCAGGAGCTATGTATGGTGCTGGAGTCAACTTTGCCAGGGACGCCTCCTATTCAATACACTACGCAACTCGACCCAGTACTAGTCCTCATCGCGTTATGTATCTTGCCAGAGTATTGGTGGGTCGATATTGCTTAGGAAAAAAGGGAATTATAAAACCTCCCCCTGTAAATCCTGAGTTTCCGGAGATTCTGTTTGATTCCACGGTCGACAATCTGGCTAACCCTTTAATCACTGTCGTGTATCAAGACAGTCAGTGTTACCCAGAATATTTAATCACTTTTCGAAAAACAGGATGAAAATAAGACAAAATTCAACGAGGTCTTGCTGAAGAGAATTCATTAATCTTCAAAGTAGAGTAATCTTACCGGTAGACTCTTTATATTTTTTATAGTGTGCGAAATGTGAAAACGTTACCTAGAACAGTTTAATTTGAAAGTTAGGACATAAATAATGCATGTCATGATATACTAAAAAGCCGTTAATTGAAAGACTCTTTAGTTTTAGTAAACGTTTAAAGTTGTCTTTCAGTAGCATATTGATTAAATGGACGATTCCGTGAAGGTCTCCCGCTACTGTATTTCCCTTTTATTCTGAGCTTTCGCCGATTTACCGCACCGTCAGGAAGTATAAAGAAAATATTCCACTATGCGTGATATAAAAACAATGTCGGAGTACTGAGTAGTTATAAAATTTAGCGAGGACAATGAGTTGTCCAAATGTGGCGATGGAAAACAAAAAATAACGAGGCCCTAAGGATACTTGAGGAAATAATTAACAAGATACAGGATCTTTCGAACTGGCGTGTGATACAAATCACAGGAATTAATAGGAAACGAGATATTCAGACCCCTCCCCCCTCCCCCCACCCCAGTGGGGCCGTAATAATAAAGAAAAAAAAAAAGCAATGAGTTGTAGCCAAAACAAAAGATCTTAGCAGTCCACTTTAAAATTCAGTGTCTCTGACATCAATAATAATCCCGGAAATTAAGTTCAAGCTTATACTTTCAAATACAAGAAGCCTCGAATAAACAGGATCATTTCCTTTTTTTTCTACATCGTATAAGAAAACGACCACGTCAACTTACAATTATGTTGGGTAACAATCTTGGTTCGACCAGCGAAACGTTGAAATATTGTTTTCCTGCGCGAGCTTTCCGCAACATCTTCGACTAAAACCTGTTCATGCAACAAAAATGTCGTCATCCCGGCTATAATGATAAATAAACGTTTAATCGTTTGTCTTGCGAGACAGTGCCTCTTTTAGTGTTTATAAGAAAAGCTAACTTTAATTATGGTGTTTTGTCATTTTCCGTGTCTTTAAAATCATTGCTGAAAATAACTGGATTCACACGTAACACCCGGAAAGGGAAGTCCCAATTTGGTTTGCTCCCAGTCTCTTTTTCCCCTCACGGTTTTCCAAGAAAGCCGGAAGTACGATTCCTAGAATGTTACTTCATGTAAAATGAAAGTGCACTGCATACGAAGTAGTTATTTTATGACGGTGTTTCTGTCGGGAAAGGAAGAGGAGTCCTCGCTTGAAAAACTGTAAAGATTGACGGTGAGTTTTCTGGATTCCTTGTGAATTATCCTGGTGTAATCCGTGATCGAACGCATCGATAATTTCTCAGAATTCTCAGGGATTTATCAACTAACACAATTTCTCGCGAGCGGAACAATTTTCTGGCTTTGTACTAGAAAATACAAGCAACTAATTCCCCACAAGTACCCTCAGAAGTGATCTACGACTTCTAGTGTTAACTACTTGATAAAGAGACAAAATCTTTTACAGCTTTAGAGATGAAGCTGCCTTCTGTAATTCCTAGCAAACTTAAGATATTTGCGTTTGAAACTACAATATACTCTTACTTTCTACTGTTTTCATTTTCACTGTAGTCTTTGAGTAAGCAGTGACAAAGACCTTTTTTTTTCCATTTCAGCATTCGCTAATTCTACAAGTTATCAAAGACAAGTTTCAAGCTCGTGCCTCATCAACAATGGATGACGAATATTCATATTACGGTAAGGTTTGCTATGAATGTAAATAGGAACCAAAACAGATAATATTCTTGTGTAGTTATAAGATGGTTTGCTCTCATAATTGTTCGACAGTAAATTTTTACCTCTAGTTTTAGGTATAAGATTACTGATAAATGGATTTAGAACGTAATCTAGTAGAATCTTGCGTTAAAGCGACCGATCGAGACATTTTCAGCTCCCATACTGTAGATATCGTAGCTGTTTATTATTAACGCACCACTGCACTTGGGCTCGTGTTCATGACTTCGCAAATTTCTCGAGTTTTTATCCTAAGTTTAGTTCAAGAAATAACGTGAAAGGTGCAATTGTTGCTTATTGCCTAAATGCCCGCGATTTGAGAAATTTGCTAAAAATTAAGCGCAGTAATCTCGAAGGGTCAAAGCGTCCTGAAGCAATTGTTTGTACCAGTAAATTTCTGATGCAAGCACACTTTCGGGAAACAGGGCATCAAAAAAACTTCACAATTAAGGAATTACGTCTCTTGAGATGATAGAATCCTCAAAGTTACCGGTTGATAAATCACAAATCTTTAGGTCGGCGTCGAAAAACTTTTTTTTCCCTTGCTCATCGGAGGGACATTCCCCATGTTATTTGCTCGATTTAAACCGGAAGTCCTGTCACACGAGAATATCTAATTTCACTCACTATCAATTTAGCATTTTCAGACAGTCTGTTACACAAAGAAATCGAATCAATACCAGGACATAAATATTACTGTCTGAGCTTGCTTCAATAAGCTGGAAGCAGCAAAAATTCTTGCCCGCAACAGAGAAATGTAAAATAATCGGGAAAAATAATACCAGACAAATGCACCGAATGATTTTAAGAAAAGCTCGCTAAATAAAATGAAGCAGACACTTGGAGATGCTGTTATTTTTTATTCAGGCATATTAAGATATCTTCAGTCTTTTAGTCTCGGAATGAAATGCCCACGAGTGGTTGTGTTCTACTTTAATCTAGGATCAGATAAATTATGCTAAAATATTTGAGCATTATACTTTTGAGTGTCACCCTTGAAAACAAAATGGCATTAAGGTAATTTGTTTCCATTATGCTCAGTTCAATAATTCGTAATAATTGTTAGCTTTTAAGAGCCCCTCAGCCTCCCTTCCATTCCTATCACCAACAGGTAAAACTTACTGAGAGTAAAAGGCTTAGTTCAGATCACGACAATTTACTGGATAAAATTCCTAAAGTTTAACAAGAAAAGCAGGATCACTGTTGACTCTATGGCGACAGAATTAATTTCTTGTTAAACTGTAAAATCAAGGGAATTGTTAATTAGTTTTAATCATTATACAGCCATTATGTTTGATGCTCCAACTGTAGCATTATGCCCCAAATTACACCGGCATTATTTATCACACACTACCTCTGTCGTTGGTTTCCTCCTCACAAAAAGGAGTTTCGTCTCTCTAACTCCAAGACTGTTACGTTGAATTTTGTAGTGTAATGAAACGTTTTATTATATGTTCAGTGGCATTCAGACCCTCACTGTAGGGAGATCGTGTGCGGTTTTGGTGGAAAAAGCTACAAGGACATTTGAAACGCAGGGTGGTAGGAAGAAATTTCCAGTGGGGGAGAGAGAGGAGAGAATCCTGTATTATCACCTTCACTGACTTTTGAGGCGCTCGTAAATTTTTGGTAGTTGACTTTGAGAGGTATCACATGTATTACAGGGCCACCTTTGATAAAAACTAACTGGTCCCTCACTTTTTCATTCACAGACGACGACGACGATTACGAAGAAGAAGAAGAAGGGAATGAAGATCTTGGTTCTTTTAATGTCAGTGACTTTGTTGACAAAGAAGATGGCGGAGTTAGTGAAACAGTTGAAGAGAATATTGACAAGGAATTGGGTTTTTCATTTGCTGTCAACAAGAACGAGCAAGAAGAGCAGGAAGAGGAAGAAGAGGACCCAGAAGAATTTGAACGAAAATCAAAACAACTGCAAGAGATATTCAGTTGTTTGCCACCAGTTCTTATCAAAAGAATTCTCCGTCGAGATGACGTGAAAGGAAATATCGAAAAAGCCAGTACGAAGCTACAAGAGTTTCAAGATATGGAGAATCCTGCGGACCTTTTTAAAAATCCAGCTGAAGGAAAACCATTGATTACGAAACCTGAAGGAAAATTTGAAAATCCTCAGACACACGGCCCTATCAAGCAAGCTTGGGTGGCAGAGGACAAATCTTACGGAGGCCCTGGGCAGGAAAGTAATAGAGGGAAGAATAAGAGAAGAAAACCCAGAAAAAAAAATCAGACGCAAGGGCAACATGGCGATGCAGAACGACAAGATGAAAAAAGAAATAGTTGCGATAGCGATAAGTCTGATCAAAATGAGGGGAGCCAAGCTTGTCGGGGCAACAACCCAAGACAAAGAGGCACGACAAGAGGAGGACCACAGAGGGGACCCAGAGGTGGGTTTTTCCAGGGTCCAAACAACATTCAAGTGTCTAGAGATGATCAATTTTATGCCCCTCAAGGACAGTGGTCTGGTCATCAAAACGCCTTTCCGCCGCAGAGAGGACGTGGAAACCAACGAGGACAAAGAGGTGGCTTTCGTCCGAACCCAATCGCAGGACATCGAGATAATTCGCTTTATGGATCTCAGGAATGGCGCTTTGGTGATGGAGGCAATTTTCAACCTGAAATGGGACGTGGAGGTCAAGGCAGTCGAGGGCGTCAACCAAAACCAAAACCGAAGCCAAAGGATAGGGGACGAGGTGGGAGACGGGGTGGCAATTTCCAGGAGCAACATCAAATCCCAAGAGATTTTGAGGAGGGTGATCAGTTCTCAGATGCTAAAGACTACTCTCAATTCATGCAAAGACAACCAAACCAACGAAATGCAAGAGGAAGAGATCCTCATGAAAATCAGGTGCATCCAGTATCCTTGAGGGAGCTTGTCAGTGGTAAAACCCCGTCCCCCAGTTCTTTCGATGATTCGGATGCAGGGAAGGTTAGAAAAGATGAACCCAGCAAACACAGACAAGGAGACCGCGGTAGGCCACGGAACCGCGGTGGTAACAGAGATGGTATTCAAACTGGAATAAGACGAACACAGAGCAAGTCCAGTGTGGCGGAAGAGGGGCCTACTGATCAGTCTCAATTTGAAAGAAATAAAATACTCATTCGAGGGCTGAGTGGGAAAACTTCTCGGGACGGACTGGTGAACTTTATCGAGGCAAAGAGCGGTGGGGAAGAGGTTAAGGACGTACAGATGCTGAAGAATGGAAAAGCCCTAGTCACCATGGCTGATGATATCAAAGGTAGGTAGCCTTCAATTGAATTTGGAGGGTAAGCAGGAATTTATTTGATCTGCTCGCGAGTTATTAGGGATGAAAGTTCACGCTGGCTCAGTTTTATCCTCTCAGTTTCAAGCAGTGAACTTACCTTCAAATTATATGAGATTTACTTTTCATTGACTAATAATGTTGTATGCTTTATTAGTAGCTGAAGAATTAAGATGCCTCATTTCAGGTTTTCCACTATTTTCAGACATTTTCTTTTCCAAACAATCAAAATAATCCAGATCAATTCAATCAATTTATTTTTAATTCAATGAGTGTTGTTCCTTTCAGGAAGACTCCCAAAATGGAGTCTAACCCCAACCCTAGCCCAAGACAAACATTTGTTAAAAATGTGATCTGTTTTTTTTTTTAGATTTCAGGAAAATAAAGACTAAATGCGAGGAGAGAGGTCTGGATAGTGCAAAGGTTTCGATCGAACAAGTCCCGGTTTGCAAAAGCATCCTTGTCACTGGCTTTTCAGACATTACCCATGATTTTATTGAACTGTACTTTGAGAGTCCTCGAAATGGTGGGGGTCCTGTGGAGAAGGTTGACTATGTCCCCAAAAGTGGTCGAGCTGTGGTTGTCTTTCAAGATGCAAAAGGTCTGTAACTCATTGGTCTCTAAAATATAGGTATTGTCTAATTCCTACAGGCAAGAATAATCGACATCTGATCGTCATACATATGTAGCAAATGTTATATAATAAGCTCAGATATGCAGGCACTCTGATTGGTTCTCACTTATGATCTACTGGAGGACAGACGTATAGATGACGTCATCATTAAAACTTTTTTCCCGTATATTTTAATTCTTTATTATATAAAACAAATAGATTCCAAGTTGCCGTGCTTCTGTTCAGTAATAGATCACAGAGGACGTCAAAATGTGGTAAGAACGTGAGGGAGCTACTTTTTTGTTCTTACCACATTTTGACGTCATCTGTGATCTATAACTGAACAGACGCACGGCAACTTGGAATCTAATTGGTTAATTGGTTGTCACGTTTTAAAACTTTAGCTGTACATTAGACTTGAAGAAGGACAAATTAATGATTGATCGACTAATTGATTGATTGATTGATCTTCTCTGACCCAACACCCCATCGTCCTTAATCTGCGTGTCTTTCTTAAATTAAAATGTCATGAATTGTTGTGAAACGAAAATAACATTTTCGTGGAAATTCCTGACACTTACTTGCTTTAATCAACAGATATGGAAAGGGTTTTAACCAGACATGAAGAGAAACCTCACGAGTTTCACAAAACCCAGCTTTCAATTAAAGCTTACCGAGAGTTTCTAGAAGACGAAGACGTTGATGGAGCAGAGGATTCCGGTGACTTAGGAGCACCTACAACCGAGGCCAATGAATCTCGAGTGAGCCCGACACCCGATGCTAAAGAACAACAGCTGCACATAGCTGTAGATCCCGATGTTATGGAATACGTCACATCCACAGGATTCCAAGCTGAACTGAACAATTCGCTGGCTGGAAAGAAGAGCGAAATCACCTGGAAACCCAACAACAAAATGGCTGTTATAGTGTACCGTGGGGAAGATGACAGTGATTCCTGGCAATCTGAATGCATTGACCAAGTACAAAATTACCTCGGCAAGTTTGCAAAGTGCGATGTGCAGGTCAACAAAGATTTCTGGGAAGCCGTGGTAGCAAAAGTTCCCAGCATACGCACCTGCTTGGGAGTTAATCCCCCGCTGGTCAAGACTATTCCTGATTCAAATATTGCTAGGATCGTTTCATTAGGAACAGACATGAAAATTAGCGAAGAAAAGGTGAGGTCGGAGTTAGAAGAAATCTACCGCGAGGAGACCAGAAAAACTTACCTGAGGAAGAAAATTCCAAATATTGCCGAGGAGCGCTTAATTTTGCTGAAGAAGATAAAATTTGCCGAGAACCTCCAAGAAAAGAACAAGGAGCTGGAGATCAAGTTTGATACTGATGGTGAAGAAATATATTTCGAAGGTCCCCAGCCACAGTTTATTGAGGCAACCATGAAGTTCTACAAACATATGTCTGATATGGTTGAGAAGAAACTAACTTTATCCGACAGCATCCTGGAGATTTTAAACTCAGATGAGGGGCTTCAGACTGTCAAATGTGAGTTGGAAAGAAACAACGTGGAAGCAGTGTTCGTTATTGAGAAAGACGCCACCATAGTGGGATCATCAGCAGCGCATGCAGACAACGCAGCGAGGCTCGTGAACAAGTTGATGGTGGAAGAGAAAGTTCAAGTGGACGAGAAAAGCAAGCATTTGTTGAAGTCATCTGAATGGCTGAAGTTGTGTGACGAGATGGACCAAGTGGCTGTCCGTGTCCGGAGGGACAACTGGAACGATACATACGTCGCTGGGTTCCGTGATAACGTGACCGAAGTGATAAAGAAGTTAAATACCTTTCTTGAAAAAAATTGCATGAGGGAGGAAAGTTTCGTGTGCCTGTCTGATATTATGCGAAGGTATTTTCTCGAGCTACGTCAAGAAGATCTACGCACCATAGAAAATCAACTAAAAGATTTTGTAGTGAGTATTAAAAAGGGAAAAGACGATGATGATTTTATCATTTCTGGAAACAGAGAAGGTTTGAAACGTGTAAGAAAGAAGCTCGACGCTCTGATAGATTCCACTGAGTTGAAAACCTTTGAAGTGAAACAGCCAGGTCTTCGAAAATACTTTGAGAGTGGAAAAGGAGATCGACTGGTAAAATCGGTGGAAAAAGATCAAGACTGTGCCATAAAAGTTCAGAAGAATTTAAGTCGAGGAGGAAGGGACGAGGAGTTGCGCGTCGAATCTGTATCCGACGCCTCTACTTCTTCAGGCGATAGTGAAGATGATGTGGAAGATGACCACGCTACCACTGCTGGAACTGACTCGTCTACCCTGGTAATAGCCCAAAGGCACAGAGTGTCGTGGAAACCTGGAAACATAGGAGCAGAGAAGGTAGGATTGACACTGATTTCTTCACACCAGGAGAATATCACAGAAAATACCTTAGAGGATCATGTTGGCATAATTGTGGATTTTAGTTCTTTACTAAGCTCTCATATGCTGGTAGAGTGTGGTTACATTATTTAATGTCTCTCTTACTGAGAGTGCCAAGTCTGATAACGACAACAGCCCACCTTATTGAAGAAGTTAATGAATCATTAACACTACTCTATTGGCTGTGTATTTCAGGCTGACGTACTTGTCAGTTCTCAAGGAGTATGCGATCAAGCAATCATTAATGCTGGTGGTCCTCAGGCCGCAACCCCCAACGTTGGTGACATCACTGTCTCACGTGGTTTTTCCTCGGTCAGTCACGTGATTCACACTAACTGTTGTAAGTGGAAAAACGGTGGAGGGGAGCCGGTAAGGAACAGTGAATTGTACGTAGATAATTAAGTATGAGTTCACTTTTGAAGGAAAGGACCTCTCTAAAATACATCGAAGAGTACTTGTTGTTTAGATTTGATGAAAGCCTACACGATATCGGATGCCCAACTGGCGAATCCTGTCCATTCTCTTGTAGCATAGAGCAACTGAAGACTGTTCAGGCTCAATTTGATGTTACCGTCAAACATTCCGTCATGTTCATTAGGCCGAAGCAATCACAGGCGACAAGCGTCACTCCTCAGGGAATTCTTCGAGAATGATCGATCGAATATGCAACGACGGGATTATTGCAAAAATTAACTTTCAATTTCTAATATCATTCGAAAATCCTAATCAGAAATTTTGTGGAATTAGTGAGAGCAAAGATCTTACTAGAGAAAAACAAATTGAGCTGTGAAATTTTCACCACTAAAAAAAGAATTAATTAGGCCCGATTCCAAAGATAATTTCCGTGAGGTTATAATCTCAACATCCGCCATCCTGATCCAAAAAGGAAATACCACTTGTGTGAACATCCTACATGGCGCCCCGTTAATATCCACTAGAAAATGCTAATAAAATTCAAGGCTCAGATAACTTTGATTCCCGGAAAACAGATTCCAAGAAGACTAAAAATAGCTTGAAAGGGATTTAGTTTTTTAACCTTTTCACTTTAAGGAGTGACCAGTCAGTTTTTTCTCCTCCCATTATCAATGCATTATCTACCAGAAAGGTGACGGGAAGAAGGAAATATATCAATAAGGGGATATTGCATGACTGAACGTCAATTTTTGAGTGTCAAACTCAAACGAAATGTACAGAACACAGAGTGGAGATTATCATTATCTACCAGAAAGGTGACGGGAAGAAGGAAATATATCAATAAGGGGATATTGCATGACTGAACGTCAATTTTTGAGTGTCAAACTCAAACGAAATGTACAGAACACAGAGTGGAGAATTGCTATTCAGATCACATAGAATTGAAAAGATTTATTAGATCCCCTCTTGCCACCAACATTCAACAACTTCTATTTCATCTTTTGTAGACGCTAAAGGCCATCGTTCAAAAGTGTCTGCAAAAAGGCGAAACGCTTGGAGCGAACTCCATCGCATTTCCTGTCATTGGGACTGGAAACCTACAATTCCCACGCGATACAGCCTCAAGAATCATGTTGGGGGAAACAGTCGATTTCTGCCGAGCCAACCCTGGCTCAAATTTACGGGACATCCGATTTGTCGTGTTTAACCAAGATCAAGCATTAACTGCTGCCTTTAAACAAGAGATGGACAAACTGCAACCCAAGCACATTGGCCTCTCTGCCATCAAAAAATACGGGTACTCGTTTTCTCCAAAAGTAGGTGTGGCTCAGCGCATGACCTCAACTAGCCCTTTCAGTGTCGAGGTGATAAACGGTGATTTGACTCAAGAGAACAGCACTGACGCTATTATGAATATCAACAGCACGGACATGAACATGGATAACGCCGGAGACCTAAGCAAAGCCATTGCAAGACAGAGTGGTCCACTAGTACAACAAGAATGCAACCAATTGGGAAAGCAGCCTGCTGGAACAGCGAAAATGACCAGGGGAGGTAATCTACAAGTATCTCACATTATTCACATAATTCCAGGCTCCTCAGATAAGCAGCATCTCCAGCAATGTTTGGAGAAGGGTCTTCGTCTCGCGGACGCCAATAACTTTCAAGCGATCTCAATTCCGTGTGTTGGTACAGGAGGATACGGCTTGACCGCAGCGGACTCAGCCCAACTGACGTTCAAAGCACTAAACGCATTCAGTGCCCGCTGCAAAAATATTAAAAAAGTAAGAGTGGTTGTGTTCCAGGCCTCTATGATGCAGGAGTTTCTACAAGAGCAGAAGAAACAACCAGTGCAAGGTAACGAAGGAGATACTGACTCAGAGAATGCAGCAGCCAGAGAAACCAGAAGTCGCGGACGTAGGCAGGAACTAGGCCAAAGTGACGAGCATTCTGTAAGAATTTCTGTGATCGGCAAAGACAAGGTGAGCGTGGGAAAAGCCGTGGAATCCTTGAAGAAAGGTTTTTCTGACGCTTGTACAATGGAAAAAGTCGAAAGTGAAATCGTCAGTCAGCTTTCCGATAAGCAGAAGGATATCCTGAGGAAAAAAGCTAAAGACCGTGACGTCAAACTTGAAATTGAGGAAGAGGTGGATCGCATTGTTGTTCGTGGTGGACCAACCGAAGTATCTGGAATGGTCGGGGAGATCTGGAAAGAGATCAGCGAGAGGACGAAGAAGAAGCAGGAGGAAGAACAAGCGAAGTTGGTTTCAAAGAACGTAGAGTGGACCTATGAAATTCAAGGCACAAAAATGGTGTTTGCTCCGAAAGCAAATGCAAAGATTGAGCTGGCCCACAGCAAAGACGAGCACACAGTGCAAGTTTCTTTACGCGGAGACATGTTTGTCATCGACTTGAAGAGAAACTCTGGAAGTGGACAAACGTCTGGTGAACAAATAACACTGATAAGAAAGGTGAAGGGTGCTGATGAAGGTTAGTTGCTATACATCTCTGTTGACAAGAATGTTTAGATAAGAAAGGACTAAGATATTTCATTTCCTAGAGGACGTTTAAGGTAATAAACATGTAATAAACGCAGGGGATATTCAGAAAAGCCGTCCAAAAATGTCCCTAATAAAATTTCTTGTTGATCTTGTATGTTTCTTACCTGAAAATTATACCTGGATCTTGAAATTTAACATCAGTCGTTGGGTTTTCACTTCAACATTCTAATCTTTCGGTCCTTTTTGTAGGAATTGCTTTACCAAAGCACTGGGCACCAATGCCCGGCCATGACTCTACTGCACATAAAGTACAACTGCTCCCAGGCTCCCCTGAGTATCAAGATGTCGTGCGCAAGTTCCAAGCCACAGCCGGTGCGTTAAATATTCAGAAGATTGAACGCGTACAGAATCCTCATCTGTATCAGTCTTACATGGTACGAAAACAGAAAATGGATAAAGATACGGGAGAAAATAGTGAAAGACATCTGTTTCATGGAACTGATGCTAAAAACATCAACCATATCAACACACAAGGATTCAACAGAAGCTTCTGTGGGGCTCATGGTAAGTCATTGAAATTTTAAATAGAGGAGAATTTTTATCGTCTCGTCACGGGAGGGATTAAAGAAAAACTTTCCAGTACTTAAGAGGAATCGAACTTCAAACCTTCAGATTTCCTCGTTCCAATGCTTTACCATTGACCTACAGACTCTATGATTAACAGGCTTTTCACATACTGCAAGGATAATTAATTTCGATAGCTATAGCTTCGTGTGAGAATAAGGAGAATTGAAGCAATACTTTCAAGCGATTAATCTTGACCAGTTAAGGCATCTACATGTCCCATCAAGTCACCCAGACGTTGCATGAACTCTAGCCGAATCACACTTTGGAGCCAAAAATTGGTAATGAAAGCTGTAATAATAGAAGAATAATACAATTGCCTCTTTTATAAAAAATAACCTCTTTAAATGTATCATGATTTTGTTGATATTTTTTCTCTAAATTTAACATTTTTTTCAGGCACGGTCTATGGACGTGGTGTTTATTTCGCTAGAGACGCTCAATACTCTGTTAATTACGCTGGGGGTGTTGGTTATGGAAGTCGTCACATGTACCTTGCCAAGGTCCTCGTTGGGCAGTATTGTGTTGGGAATCGTTCAATGGTTGTGCCTCCACCAAAAAATCCATCAAAACCTGAAATTCTTTACGATTCTGTGGTAAATGACCGATCAAGCCCCAGCATCTTTGTTGTTTTCTTTGATAATCAGTGTTACCCTGAATACCTTATAACCTTTTCATGACCACATGGACCTTTTACTCAGAAAATGGCAGAGTTAAAAGCCAAAAAAGCTTGACAAGCTTCATAGTTTAACTTAGTTTATCAGTTATATAAATTGCAGAGAATAGTTATCCTCCACAGACAAGGGAACATCATATAAATGTTGGTAATAGTTTCTCGATAGAATTCTTAACTGTCTTAACTCAAAACTTATTCTTCATCTTATAAATTGAATGATTATATCCTTGAATGCCAAACAAAGTAAAATCTAGCTGAACGCGTTTTATCACTACAGTGGAGTTACCACTAGCCTACAGCGTAGGGAAACGCGAGGCGTGCGCGGTGGCCACGACATAGTCGCGTTCCTCGCCCCACGCGTCCACCTCGCGCTTGTCCCGTTTTCTCGCTTGGAAAAGCAAAGAGTTCTGTTGTTCTCAAGTTAAGTTTTTACAAGGATATTTTCTTTTTTATCGCCAGATTGACAGATAATATTTTTGCATCAATTTTCTACCCAAGAAACTGGCGAAAGTAAAAATTTCGAAAAACATGTGCACCTTTTTGCTGTGCTTAATGAGAATTGATACTGAAGTGGCTACGATAACATTTGATTTATGGTGTAAAAGATTCACCGGAAAGAAAATTAGAGAAGCATTTATTATTTAGTTGGCAGCCAATAGCTTGGAAGAATTGTGGCATAGTATTACCTGCGTTCGGGTTTCACGGACAGATTTATTTACTGAAATAAAATAGAGGAACAAAAATTAACGTGTTGGTTTTTTTCCGTCTTCAACTTGTGGCTCGGTGGCAATATCTTAAGTTTTTTCGCGATGAACGAGTGAGGGAGAGGAAGCCCTACCAGCAGATAAGAACAGTCAGTCGGACCCTTGTTTTTGTACAGAGACTGTGCGACTGTAAATGTTGCGTGACAAGCAAGCGGCATCACTTGTCACGAATATTTTCGCGTCAAAACTGAAAAGTTGACACTTTGTAATACTAGCTTGCAAAGGAAAGGAATCTTTAGATTTCTCATTCACTCCTCCAATCTTATTCCTTCTTGGCCTTGAGGCTATCCCCATCTGTATCTGCCAGCCTCAAAAAAGTCAGCTTTCCACAGATAAATACGGGCGAATAACATAAGGTCATTCATCCACCATTTTCAAAACAAAGATAAGTGTATTTGTGGTTTGATATCGTGTAATGATTTACCTCTGTAGCAATAATACTATTGTGATCGATTCTGCAATTATAAGCGAAATATCTAGATGTTAATTTTACAATCGCTTTATAAGGGGACTGTTTAGTCTTTTTCTTACCTTTGGTACCCTCCCAGCTTGTCAGCAAGCCAACCCGAGCAAGAACACCTATAACAAAGTAAATCTTGTGTCATTTGCCGTATGGTTTTTCTGGCCATCGCAAGGGCGATGGTTATTACACAGTTAAAGTAAAGACCGTTTGCAAAGTTACATTTGAAATCTTAACCACATAGTAAACGACAATAGAATATTCCTCTCTTGGTTTTTCATCGTTTATAAGAGAAGTAAAATTTAATTACGCTGTTTTGTCATTCTCCATGTCTTAAAAACATTGCTGAAATAATTGGATTCACACGTAACACCCGGAAGCAGAAATTTTTTTTGGGATCACTTTCTGAAGGAGCTTAGATACCAGGCTCAATTGGGTAACCAAGCCTTCTGATGATTTGTTTACAATTTTATACTCACCTCCCCCGACTGGTTGAAGTGCGATTGGATGGGGACAGGGAAGGGAACATTTTTGTTACTTGCGCGAGAAAAAACAAATGGGAAGTTATCTATTAACCCTATTTTTTTTCATTTTCGCGTGAAAGAATATTACCTTATCTCGCTGCGCTCCGTTCAAATACGAATCTTCTGCCTTTCGCAAGAAGTGCACCTCGTCGAGTACAGGTCTTGAAAATGTATTCAATGTTAAAAGAAATCCTAGCAGGCAAAAAAAATTAACCTTTCGGTGAACTACGTAACTGAACCAAGTACTTTTTTTAACGGACCACAAAATTCGTCGTAAGTGTAGTAATCCGCTTATTTATTCTTGACATTAAGCTTATTTCGACTTAATAAAGCAATTGGTATCAATCATATGAAAATACGTATTTGACAACTTGATAATCTTGTTAGAACGTCCTGGGAAGTTGTACCTATAAAGAAGCTACGTGTAAAATCAGTAAGGCCTTTTCACTCTTTATAGCGGTAAATTTATATTAACCGTGGAAGCTTTGCACGTCTTAGTCATTTGCTTGATTATTTTTTGACGCTGTTGTGTTGAGCATCCATCTGAAGTGTGCGTGTATGAGTGCTCAGGGTGCAAAGAGTGAAAACGGTACGCAAACCTAATAATTTCTACCCCTCCACCCCTCCCAGCTCCACCCTCTACAAAAATGATTAGTTTCTGGACCATATTGACTTGAAATTTTACACTTGGTAATTCCTAAATTGACTGATGCCTCACCCAAAAATTATTTTCATATCATATCTGTGCACCACTGAGGCCTTGCATTAATAAATAGGCTATTCTGGTATGTTCCAATAATGACTCTGGGTCAGATGCATTTGCAACAAAGGATGGAAAAAATGAATTATTATTATTATTAACATTATTATCATTATTATTATTGTGTTACATACTCTTAACCAAATTTGAAACTTTACCACTCCCCTCCCCCAAAGAAGTCTTTAAAGTCCTCACAGTTTAATGCCTCAAGGCTTGCTGGTTTGGCAGTCAGTGGAAAAGTAATAAAAGAAATACATTCAGTTGGATTTAAATGATTATAAATTAGATTTAAATATCAATTCCAACTGAGCAATGACTCACGATACAGAAAACAAGACATTGATTGCATTATATCAGGTGGCTTGATCCAAATGAGCCAAGAAAGCTTTTTTTTGTTTTGTTTTGTACCTAATCATAAAAAACCCCCCATGTTCTGTAATTGTAAGTCATAAAGTGAAATTCAGTACTCCAACTATATTCAATATACCTTACTGAAGTTTTCAACACCACCTTGATGGGTTGGTAGGCAGGCATGACCTTGCAGTATTTGTATGAGAATCCAATGTCAAATAATCTTTGTCAATTATATTAGGTGGCTTGATCCAAATGAGCCAAGAAAGCATTTTTTGTTTTGTTTTGTACCTATTCATAAAAAAGCCCCATGTTTTGTAGTAGTAAGTCATAGAGTGAAATTCAGTGCTTTAACTATATTCAATAGACCTTACTACAGTTTTCAACACCATCTTGATGGGTTGGTGGGCAGGCTTGACCTTGCAGTATTTGTATAAGAATTCAATGTCAAATAATTTTTGTGAAAAATTCTGTTATGATAAAAATATCAGGAATATGGCAAACGTAAGCAGCAGTTGTAAACGTTACAGGAAAAGGATTCTTCTGTAAAAGAATTTTCTTCTTTCAGACTAAAATTTCCTGAAAAAAAATAACAGACAATGCATGGAAAATCTATTACAAACAATAGGGCAAATTCAAGGACAGGTACAGCCATAGCCACTATGAAGTAAGCATCCCAGCAGTCCAGGGAACAATTTAAACATTGACTCAGCTTTGTGTAATCAGATTAATTGTTGCTAAGTGCATTATTTCATGACAACGTACTTCAACATGTTAGGTATACATATAGTATATACCACAAAAGCAAATTATTTCTGGTGTTATCGCTAATTGAGATATCAGATCAAGAAAGTATAAGGTTATTAATAACGAGTTAATTTTTAGCTGTAAGCTTTTCGAGTTATTGATTTGACAATTTACGTTGTAAAATTACAAAAGGAAACACTAAATTTAGGTTGTAAAACACTAAAATACTTACTTACTTACCTTCCAGTCTCAAAACGTTTTTCTCTTTGCTGCTTTAAAAATTTGAGCTTGTGTTTACTACTCGCCGAAATCGCCGAAGTTCTTTGTATTCTAATGTGACAAAAAAGGTCACGCAAGCAAGAAAAGGCTTGGGCACAAATTCAGTAGGCTTGGCTACTGAGTTGAGCCTGGTTTCTAAGCTCCTTCAGAAAGTGATCCCCAAAAAAATTTCTGCCACCCGGAAAGGGAATTCCCAATTTGGCTTGCTCCCAGCCTCCTTTTCCCCTCACGGTCTTCTCAAGAAAGCCGAATCGGAAGTACGGTTTCATACAAAGTAAAAGTGCAGTGCATTCGAACGAGTTATTTTATGACAGTGTTCTGTCGGGAAAGGAAGAGGAATCCTCGCTTGAAAAACGGTAAGTATTGACGGTGAGTTTTCTGGATTCCTTGTGCATTATCCTGGTGTAATCCGTGATCGAACGCATCGATAATTTCTCAGAATTTTCAGGGATGTATCAGGTAACACAAGTCCTCGCGAGCGGAACAATGTCTGGCTTTGTACTAGAAAATACGAGCAAATAATTCTCCCTAAGCGCCTCAAAAGTGATATACGACTGCCATTGTTAACTACTTGATAAAAAGACAAATCTTCTACAGCTTTAGAGATGAAGCTGCCTTCTGTGATTCATAGCAAACTTAAAATATTTGCGATTGAAATTGCGACATACTCTTACTTTCTACCGTTTTCATTTGCACTGTAGTCTTTGAGTAAGCAGTTACAAAGATCATTTCATTCTATTTCAGCATTCGCTAATTCTGCAAGTCACCAAGGACAAGTTTCAAGCTCGCACCAATAATGGCTGACGAAGACTCACATTACGGTAAGGATCCTCCATTGCAATTTGCAATAAATGCAAATCGAAACCAAACCGATGATATTTTTGTGTACTTATACGAGCGTTTGCACTCGTGATTGTTCGACAGAAAATTTTGTACTTCTTTTTTTAGGTATAAGATTACTGATAAATGGATTTAGAGTGTAATCTAGTAGAATCTTGCGTCAAAGCGACCGATCGAGACATATTTAGCTCGCATATGACAGAGATTGTATTTGAGCCACACTGCACTGGGGCTTGGGTTTTTCTTCAACATTCTAATCATTCGGTCCTTTTTGTAGGAATTGCTCTACCAAAGCACTGGGCACCAATGCCCGGCCATCACTCTACCGTACATAAAGTACAACTGCTCCCAGGCTCCCCTGAGTATCAAGATGTCGCACGTAAGTCTCAAGCCACAGCTGGTGCGTTTAATATTCAGAAGATTGAACGCGTACAGAATCCTCATCTGTATCAGTCTTACATATTACGAAAACAGCAAATGGATAAAGATACGGGAGGAAAAAGTGAAAGACAGCTGTTTCATGGGACTTATGCTAAAAACATCAACCATATCAACACACAAGGATTCAACAGAAGCTTCTGTGGGGCACATGGTAAGTCATTGAAATTTTCAATAGAGGAGAATTTTTATCGTCTCGTCACGGGGGTGGGATTAAAGAAAAAACTTTCGAGTACTTATGAGGAATCGAGCTTCAAACCTTCAGATTTCCTCGTTCCAATGTTCTACCACTGAGCTACAGACTCTATGAGTAACAGACTTTTCACGTGGTTAATATGTGGTACGCCTTCCATATACTAAAAGGATCATTAATTTCGATAGCTTCGTATGAGAAAAAGGAGCATTGAAGCAATACTTTCAAGCGATTAATCTTGACCAGTTTAGGGATCTACATGTTCGACCAAGTCACCTAGACGTTGCATAAGCACTGAATCACTAATTGGAGCTATAAATTGGTAATAAAAGCTGTAATAATAGAAGAAGAGTACAGTTGCCTCTTTTATAACAAATTACTTCACTGAATGCAACACAATTTTGTTGATATTTTTTTCTCTAAATTTAGCGTTTTTTTTTCAGGCACGGCCTATGGACTTGGTGTTTATTTCGCTAGAGAAGCTCGATACTCTGTTAATTACACTGGGCGTGTTGGCTATGGAGGTCGCTACATGTACCTTGCCAAAGTCCTCGTTGGGCAGTATTGTGTTGGAAATCCTTCAATGAAGGTGCCTCCACCAAAAAATTCATCAAAACCTGAAATTCTTTACAATTCTGTGGTTGATAACCAATCAAGCCCCAGCATCTTTGTTGTTTTCTCTGATTACCAGAGTTACCCTGAATACCTTATAACCTTTTGAAGAACACATGGACCTTTTTCTCAGAAAACAACTGAGTCAAAGGCCAAAAGAGCTTGAAAAGCTTCATAGTTTAACTTGGTTTATCAGCTATATGAATTGCAGAAAATCGTTATCCTTCAAAGTGTAGGGAACATCATATAATTGTTGGCAATAGTTTCTTGATAGCATTCTTTACCGTCTTAATTCAAAGCTTATTCTTTATCCTATAAATTGAATGGTTATATCCTTGGAGGTAGAGGGTCCTTGTAACGCCAAACAAAGTAAAATCCAGCTGAACGCGCTTTATCACTACAGTGGAGTGAGCAGTAGCCTACAGGCTACAGTTTTCATTTTTTTCACGTTTCTCAGGCGAGCAAGGGAAACGCGAGGCGTGCGCGGGGACCACGACATAGTCGCGTTCCCCGCCCCACGCGTTCACCTCGCGCTTGTCCCGTTTTCTCGCTTGGAAAAGCAAAGAGTACTGCTGCTCTCCAGTTAAGTTTTCATTACGGCATTTTCTTTTTTTATCGCCAGATTGACAAATAATATTTTTTTTTGCATCAGTTTTTACCAAATAAACTAGCGAAAGTAGAGAATTTCGAAAAAATGTGTACCTTTTGGCTGCGCTCTCTGAGAAATGACAGTGAAGTCGCTTAGATGACATTTGATATGTGGTGTCAGATTCACCAGAGAGAAACCTGTATAAGTACTTATTATTTAGTTTGAAGCCAAAAGCTTGGTCAAAAAGTGTATTGTAGTCTTACCTGCGTTCGGGCTTCATGAACAGGTTTCGTTAAATAAAATTACTGAAATAAAATAGAGGAAGAAAAATTAACGTTTTGTTTTTTGAGTCGTTTTTTTCATTAAAAAAATATGTTTTCGTATAGCGTGGTATGTTGCTCGCACCAATCACATCGCCGCATTAGGGTATGTATCTCGCACCAATAATGTCACAGCATTTGGATTTCACGCACCAATCACGGCGTTTGAGTCTTGTTTTCTTGTAACTGAGGTCATGGAATCACACAGAGGGCAAAGTGCAGATGGACAACAACCAATCAGGGAGCCTTCCTTGAAATATTATCATTTCTTGCTCAGTGTATTTTCCCTTATACGAGATTTCTTTGATTAGGATCTATTGGAGATTACAGTCTCAGTCTGCTCTTCGCAGTAATATTACGTGGAATTATACTTTTGAGGCGACCAACTGCATACGAATAATTTTGATTTTCTTTCTACTAGAGGAACGGCTGTAAGCGTAGTCTCTTTCGCAGCCGTTATTTGGTCTCGTCACGCAATAGCTCTCTCTCCAACGGGGAATAGAGGGCGTTGTGTGACGAGACCAAACATCGGCTGTGAAGTAGACTACAGTAAGCGTGGCACCGATGCATTTTATTTTTGCTCAGAAGTAGTCAGACAATAGACCACAAAATACCTGTGTGGGTTTAGATAAGTTTTTTTCTCTTTCTCCTAAAGAGGAGTAATACGATCTTTTCGTTCTTTTACAAGTTATGGAAACATTAGGAATTCAAAGTGTCCCATCTCGATCTACCCAGCTAAAAAAATAACTCTTGCATGCTATGCATGCCTATGTTTTTGTATAGTTCCTCTTCGACTAATGGCTCTATGGCAATATATTAAGTTTTTCGCAATGAACGAGTGAGAAAGAGGAAGCCCTACCAGAAGATCCAGCGGATAAGAACACCCAGTCGAGGAATCCCTATCAAAATTTTCTTAGTTACAGTTTAAGTCTTCCGAGTGGTGTAACCCTTGTTTTTGAGAGAGACCGTGCGACTATAAATGTTGCGTGACAAGTAAGCGGCCTCACTTGTCACGAACATTTTCGCGCTAAAACTGAAAGGTTCATTGTCTGCGGCATTAACACTTTGTAATACAAGCTTGCGAAGGAAGGGAATCTTTTGGTTTCTCATTCACTCCTCCAATCTTATTCCTTCTTGGCCTTGAAGCTGTCCCTATCTGTTTCTGCCAGCCTCAAGAAAAGTCAAGCTTTTCACAGATAAATACAGGCGAATAACATAAGGTCATTCATCCACCATTTTCAAAACAAAGATAAGTGTATTTGTAGTTTGATATCGTGTAATTATTGTTTTTTTAGAGGGCACGGTAACGAATTTTGCAATCTGATTGGTTCTTTACCCGGTCAGTATTTTCCTATCTCTGCCCACGGGCCACGGTAACGCTTTCGTGAGTCGCCGAGTACATCCCAACTTTCGTCATTTTTCATAAATATACCTCGGTTTCCGGATGGGCAGTATTTTTAAGCAAACACGTCGGTCACTACCTCAAGCCGATAAATAACTTATGAATCCTCTCTTTTCTCTATCAAATCACTTTGGTTGACAGAAAAATATTGGTTTCAGAATGAATTTGTTTAAACAATAGTGTCATTACGTTAGTTGACAAGCGGCCAAAAAACCGTCTGCAATTAATTTTAATCGTTCACAAAAAGTACCCAGAAAGTTGAAACGTGAGGTATTTGGTTACAGTTAAACTGAACGATGGAACTTTCATTCATTTAATATCTGAATTTTCTCGAGCAATTTGTTCATAGTGAAAGAGCGAGCAAAGTTTTAATTTAAGTTCTACAACAAATATACGCTCCCGGTGAGTCTTTCCAATTCCGTTCAATTTGGACATTTGTACCTTAAATTGCACAACAGAAATTGAAGGAATTTTTTGAGAAAAGGCCGCATTAAATTCCCTTGTGTCTCGTTGGAGTGTGCCGTTCGAATTTAGTTTTTGTGAAGGAAAGACCAGAATTAAACACGCCATTACAGCAAACAAACGAGCAAACTCTCACAACTTCAAAATAAAAAAATTGAATTTACTCACAATTACTTTCCTCGCCGTTTACTTAATGAACAGAGGTAAATCTTCGTACATGAATGAATGGTCGATGAGAGTGAATAATACTTTCCGTTAGATCATTGACTGATTTTGAAGAAAACATTGTCGTGACAGTCCTTGCCAAACTAGTTCTGTTGGTTTTCAAATGTTCCTACGCTTTTTTTTTCTTGCGCGCTCTCTAATTGACAGGTGTCAGATTGTGACAGATACTTGTAAAAATAATGTTTCAAAGTTTGTTTGGAAGCCTTTTAAATCACCTTTATCGTTACGGAAATGAAAATGTTTCGCTAAGGCATCTCTCTTAAATTTGCATCACCTCTATTTTAACTACCATTTACCCACTCAAAAATTGTTCAGTTTATGGAAGATCTTGCCGTATTTACGTCCATAAATCATTCGGGTTCTTTCGGAAAGAATTTCGTCAAGTTTAAAAACAATAAATATGTTATTTACCGGCTAAGGGTCGGTCCGTATGGTGAAAAACTGTGACCTCGGTCTTGAAAATGCTGCCCGAGGCCGTAGGCCGAGGGCAGCATTTTCAAGACCTCGGTCACAGTTTTTCACCATACGGACCTCCCAGCCGGCAAATAACATATATTGATTTACCTCTGTAGTAATAATACTATTGTGACCGATTCTGCAATTATAAGCGAAATTTCTAGATATTTATTTAATAATCGCTTTATAGGGGGACTGTTAAGCCTTTTTCTTACTTTTGGTACCCTTCCAGTTTGTCAGCAAGCCAACCCGAGAAAGAGCACCTATAACAAAGTAAATCTTGTGTCATTTGCCGTATGGTTTTTCTGGCCATCGCGAGGGCGATGGTTATTACACAGTTAAAGTTAAGACCGTTTATAAAGTTACATTTGAAATCTTAACCGCATAGTAAACGACAATAGAATATACCTCTCTTGGTTTTTCATCGTTTATAAGAGAAGTAAAATTTAATTACGCTGTTTTGTCATTCTCCATGTCTTAAAAACTTTGCTGAAATAATTGGATTCACACGTAACACCCGGAAAGGGAAGTCCCAATTTGGCTTGCTCCCAGCCTCTTTTTACCCTCACGGTTTTCTCAAGAAAGCCGAATCGGAAGTACGGTTTCATACAAAGTAAAAGTGCAGTGCATTCGAACGACTTATTTTATGACAGTGTTTCTGTCGGGAAAGGAAGAGGAATCCTCGCTTGAAAAACCGTAAAGATTGACGGTGAGTTTTCTGGATTCCTTGTGCATTATCCCAGTGTAATCCGTGATCGAACGCATCGACAATTTCTTAGAATTTCAGGGATGTATCAGGTAACACAAGTCCTCGCGAGCGGAACAATGTCTGGCTTTGTACTAGAAAATACAAGCAAATAATTCTCCCTAAGCGCCTCAAAAGTGATATACGACTACTATTGTTAACTACTTGATAAAAAGACAAATCTTCTACAGCTTCAGAGATGAAGCTGCCTTCTGTGATTCATAGCAAACTTAAAATATTTGCGATTGAAATTGCGACATACTCTTACTTTCTACCGTTTTCATTTGCACTGTAGTCTTTGAGTAAGCAGTTACAAAGATCATTTTATTCTATTTCAGCATTCGCTAATTCTACAAGTCATCAAGGACAAGTTTCAAGCTCGCACCAATAATGGCTGACGAAGACTTACATTACGGTAAGGATCCTTCATTGCAATTTGCAATGAATGTAAATCGAAACCAAACCGATAATATTTTTGTGTACAGAAAATTTTGTACCTCTTGTTTTAGGTATAAGATTACTGATAAATGGATTTAGAGTAATCTAGTAGAATCTTGCGTCAAAGCGACCGATCGAGACATATTTAGCTCGCATATTATAGAGATTGTATTTGAGCAACACTGCACTGGGGCTTGAGTTCATGTCAGCAAATTTCTCGAAGTTTTATGATAATTTTAGTTCAAGAAACGACGTGAAAGGTGCAATTGTTGCTCGTGGCCTCAATGTGCATGATTTGAGAAATTTGCTAAATATTAAGCACAACAATCTCGAAGGGTCGAAGCATCCTGAAGCAATTGTCCGTACCAGTAAATTTCTAATGCAAGCACACTTTAGGGAAACAGGGCATCGAAAAACTTCACAATTAAGGAATTACGTTTCTCAAGATGAGAGAATCCTCAAAGTTACTGGTTGATAAATCATTATCCTTTGGGTCTGCGTCGAAAAACATTTTTTCCTTTGCTCATCGGAGGGACATTCCCCATGTTATTTGCTCGACTTAAACCGGAAGTCCAATAATTATTATCCTGTAATTATTTTCACCCACTATCACTTCGGCATTTTCACCATAAAATAAATATTGCTGTCCGAGCTTGCTTTAATCAGCAGAAAAATTCATTTTCCCTCGACAGAAAAATGTAAAATAATCAAGAAAAAATAATATTAAATGCACCGTATGCCTTACAAAAAAGCTCCCTAAATATAAAACGAAGTAGACGCTTGGAGTTGCCGTCTTCTCTATTCAGGCATATCAAGATATCTTCAATCTCTTGATCTCGGAATGAAATGCCCTCGAGTGGTTATGCTCTTTACTTAAATTTAGGGTCAAATAAATTATATTAAAAAATTTGAGCAGTATACTTTTGAGCGTCATCATTACAAACGATAATTCGTAATAATAGCTTAGCTTTTACGAGCCCCTCAATCTCCTTCTCCAATCCTATCATCGAAAGGTAAAGCTTGCTGAGAGTAAAAGGCTTAGTTTAGATCAAAACATATCTCTGGATCAAATTCCTAAAGTTCAAACAAAAAACGCAGGATCATTGTTGACTTAACTCAAGCTAAAGAATTTATCTCTTGTTGAACTGTAGCATCAAGAGATTTTTGAATAAGTTTTATTCGCTATACCGGCACTATGTTCGATGCTCCGTAACTGTGGCATCATGCCCAAAATTACACTGGCATAATTTATCTAGCCCTACTTAAATCGTTGGTTTTCCTCCTCACAACATCAGCACAGCGCATGTCCAGTGTGGTGGAAGAGGGGCCTGCTGATCAGTCTCAATTTGAAAGAAATAAAATACTCATACGAGGGCTGAGTGTGAAAACTTTCCCGGACGGACTGGTTAACTTTATCGAGGCAAGGAGTGGCGGGAAAGAGGTGAAGGACGTACAGATGCTGAAGAAAGGAAAAGCCTTGGTCACCATGGCTGATGAAATCAAAGGTAAGTACCTTTCAATTGAATTTGGAGAGTTAGCAGGAATTTCTTTATCGTACTTCGTTGATCCGTTCGCGAGTTATCGGAGATGAAAGCTCACGCCGGCTCAGTTTCATGCTCTCAGTTTTAAGCGATGAACTTACTTCAAATTATATGAAATTAACTTTCCATTGATTAAAACTGTTTTATGCTTGACCAGTGCCTGAAGAATTAAGATGCCTTATTTTAGGTGTCCCACCATTTAAAGACATTTCGATTTTCTTCTCTAAACTATCAAAATAATGCAGATCAAAGTAATCAATTTATTTGGGAACAGTACATGTAATTCAATGAGTGTTGTTCCTTTCAGGAAGACTCCAAAAGTGGAGATCACACAAGACAAACATTTGTTGAGAATGTGATCTGTTTTCTTTAGATTTCACGGAAATAAAGACTAAATGCGAGGAAAGAAGTCTGGATGATGCAAAGGTTTCCATTCAACAAGTCCCGGTTTGCAAAAGCATCCTTGTCACTGGCTTTTCAGACATTACTCATGATTTTATTAAACTGTACTTTGAGAGTCCTCGAAACGGTGGGGGTCCTGTGGAGAAGGTTGACTATGTTCCTAAAAGTGGTCGAGCTGTGGTTGTGTTTCAAGACGCCAAAGGTCTGTAACTCATTGATCTCTAAGATATAAGTAATTCCTTCAGGCACGAGTAATCGTCATCTGATCCTCATACATGTGTAGTAAATATTGGTTGCACCGATTTGAGCTTTATATTTGACAAATCAGTAATTGATTAATTGATGGATTGGTTGTTCATATATTTGATTGATCGATTGATTGATTGTTTGTTTGATTGCTTGATTGATTGGTTGAACTATTCTTCCCCAATAACCCCATCGCTCTAAGTCTGTGCGTCTCTCTCAAGTTAAAGTGTTGTGAAACGACAAACAACTTCCTCAAGGAAATACTTGACGCTTAGTTGCTTCAATCAACAGATATGGAAAGGGTGTTAACCAGACATGAAAAGAGACCTCATAAGTTTGACAAAACCCAGCTGTCAATTAAAACTTACCGAGAGTTTCTAGAAGACGATGACGTTGATGGAGCCGAGGATTCCGGTGACATAGGAGCTACTGCAACCGGGGTCAATGAATCTCGAGTGAGCCAGAAGCCTAAGGAGACCCGAAAAGCTTACTTTAAGAAGAAAATTTCAGATGTTCCCGAGGAGCGCTTAATTTTGATGCAGAAGATAAAATTTGCCGAGAAACTCAAAGAAGAGAACAAGGATTTGAAGATCAAGTTTGATACTGAAGGTGAAGAAATATATTTCGAAGGTCCCCAGCCACAGTTTACTAAAGCAACCACGAAGTTCAATCAACAAATGGCTAATATGGTGGAGAAGAAACTGACTTTATCCGACAACATCCTGGAGATTTTAGTCTCAGATGAAGGGCTACAGACTGTCAAATGTGAGTTGGAAAGAAACAACGTGGAAGCAGTGTTCGTTGTTGAGTAAGACGCTACTATAGTGGGATCCTCAGCAGCGCATGCAGACAACGCGGCGAGGCTCGTGAACAAGTTGACGGTGGAAGAGAAAATTCAAGTGGACGAGAAGAGCAAGCATTTTTTAAAGTCATCTAAATGGCTGAAGTTTTGTGACGAGATGAACAAAACGACTGCCCGTGTCCATAGGAACAACTGGAACGATGTATACGTAGTTGGGTTTCGCGATGACGTGACCGAAGTGATAAAGAAGTTAAATACCTTTCTTGAAAACAATTGCATTAGGGAAGAACGTTTTTTGTGCACGTCTGATTTTATGCGAAGGTATCTTCTTGAGCTACGTCAAGAAGATCTACACACCATAGAAAATCAACTAAAAGATTTTGTAGTGAGTATTAAAAAGGGAAAAGACGATGATGATTTTATTATTTCTGGAAACATAGAGGGTTTGAATCGTGTGGGAGAGAAGCTCGACGCTCTGATAGATTCTATTGAGTTGAAAACCTTTGAAGTGAAACAGCCAGGCCTTCGAAAATATTTTGACAGTGGAAAAGGAGATCAGCTTGTAAAATCGGTGGAAAAAGATCAAGATTGTGCCATAGAAGTCAAGAAAAAGTTAGGTGGAGGAGGAAGAGACGAGGAGTTGCGCCTCGAAACCGTATCCGACGCTTCTACCTCTTCAGGCGACAGCGACGATGATGCTGAGGATGACCACCCTACCATCAATGAAACTGACTCGTCTACCCTGGTAATAGCTCAAAGGCACAGAGTGTCCTGGAAACCTGGAGACATAGGGGCAGAGAAGGTAGGATTGACACTGATTTCTATACACATGGAGAATATATCACGGAAATACCTTTGAGGATCATGTTGGTATATGAATCGATTTTAGTTCTTCACTTAGCTCTCGTCTGCTCTTAGACTGTGGTTACATTATTCAACGTCTCTCTTATTGAGAGTGCCACGTCTGATAACGACAACAGTCCACTATTAATAAATCATCAACATTTTTTGGTTGTGTATTTCAGGCTGAAGTACTTGTCAGTTCTCTAGGAGCATGCGATCAAGCAATCATTGATGCCGGTGGTCCTCAGGCCGCAACCCCCAACGTTGGTGACATCACTGTCTCAGGCGGTTTTTCCTCAGTCAGTCATGTGATTCACACTCAATGTTGTAAGTGGAAAAACGGTGGAGGGGAGCCGGTAAGGACCTCTCTTAAATACATCACATCATTGTTTATATTTGCTGTAAGATTTTGCTAAACCATGTTGGATGCCCATCTGGCGAAGCCTATCCATTCTCTTGTAGGTTAAAGCAACTGGAGACTACTCAGGCTCGATTTTAGATATTTCCGATGTAGTTTACCTCACTCCTCTCCGAATTCTTCCAGAATGATCAATCGAATATTTAACGACAGGATTATTGCCTAATGTAACTTGCAACTTCTAATATCATATGAAACTCCTTCTTAGAAATTTTGTAGAATTGGTAAGAGCAAAGATCTTGCTAGAAAAAAAAAACAAATTGAGATGTGAAATTTCACTACTAAACTACTTTCTGTGAGGTTGTTATCCAAACATTTTCGATCCTGATCCCAGAAGAAAATGCTATTTGTGTAAACATCCTACCTGGGGCCCTCTCATTATCCTCTGAAAAATGTTAATAAAGTTCAAGGTTTAGGTAACTTTGATCCCCGGAAAACAGATTCCAGGAAGACTAAAAATAGCTTGAAAGGGATTCAGTTTTTTAATCTTTTTACTTTAAGAGCCATTTTCCGAGAAAATCGAAAATCGCAAGACACTCGTAAAAAATTGGAATTTTTTTTCTTTTGCCAAAACATCCCTTTTAGTGACCTAATTCAAGAAAAAATAGTTTTGGGTTCAAGCGATTCATTGTACGGGAGAAATAACAAAAAGTTTGAAAAATCGATTTATTGCTGTCTTTTCGCGCTTAAAAACAGCAGAATCCGACCGCAACTTCGAGAAAACGGTGAACGCATAAAAAACAATCCCTAACATCGAAACTTCAGCCGAGTATTATTTCGTTCTTAATCTTTAAAATCCTAAAAGAAAAATTTGAAGAAAGAAGTTTTTAACATTTGCAATCGACAAGTTTAAAAAGGTCATATTTGTGTCTCTTGAAATGTTAGAAAATGAAAGCGAACTTTAACTGTTGTAAAAGCCCTCTGGTATATGTCGCTTCCTAGTAAAACCCATGTAGAATAAAGCCTTGGCTATTGAAGTAAATTACGGGAACGTTTTCGCTCTGGAAATTAAATGCAGCCCTAACACTGGAGTAAGCAATTTGAGAATTTAAGTTAATCAAATTTATGCAAATTAGACGGCCCGCTGAATGAATTCATACTAAACGCAAAGTTTAGTGTAATGTGTTTTTAGAGTGAAAATGTTATTTCTAGCTTTCAGCCGTGTTGGTAAGAGCCGTAAATAACTTTTTATATGACGACTGAAAAACGTTTGTTTAGCCACTTTGCTACCAGTGAAATCATTGAGATCGCAACTTCGAACTGAAGCTGTCATCGCTTGACGAAACTCCGTTACCACAATTTTAAAATAGTTTCTTCAGGGGGAAAAAGCAGAATTAAAATGCATTCGAAACCGTTGACTTCGATTCTGAATTCGTTTAGTTACGATTTCAAGCCATCACAAGGTCTTATGACCTCTGCTGACCCGGAAATCGGTTACATGCCAAGGTCACGTTAGCAAACTGTCACGAAATACTCCATAGCTTCTGTTTTCGGCCTTTGTTTTGGTAAAAAAATATATAAACTTTTCACTGAACAGACCTTCTTGCTTTGTTTGATTTATATATTTGTATTGGTCTGGACACATGCATATTCTGACTGGCTGTGAAAGACATTCATCTCAGTTTTTGATTCAGAGTGGTATAATATTTCCTAAAATATTTCAAACACAAATGGTTCCTTAATAAGTTCGTTATTCCCGAATTTCCCACCTTGCAACAATCCCTACAGCAAAAAAAAAAGCAGAAAAGTCAACTTTATAGCTTGCTTTAGTTTTGTTTTGGATTTTTTTTTATGAATTTTCCTCCGAAACCAGGAAACCCTAGCCAGGTAACTAGAAATTCTCAGTTTCATTAAGAGCTTGTCCACAACACAACTTCAAACTTGCGTGTGCTTATCGCATCCTTAAAGCCTTCCAGACCTCTTCAAAATTGTTGAAAAGCCTATTGAGGCTAATAATAATCTTTGAGTTAACTATGACCAATTCACGCCGCGAGCGCGAGAAAGAGAACCACTCCGCAGGGCTGAATACGCGATGTGGAGTGTTATAAAATTCCACATTCTCGCGCGTAACGCTTTCTATAGAGACCTCTAGAAGTGTTGTTTAGCGAAGATAAATAAAGTTATCTTTGGTTAACTCAAAGAACTTGCAGAAATACCTCCAGCCTGCATAACAGGCGCTTTATGAACCAAGCGAGGCGAAAGTGGCATTTTGCGCGAAGCGCGAGAAGCGACGAGGGGAGGAGAAAAATAAAGCTTTATTTTTCTCCATCCCTCGTCTCGCGCTTCGCACTCGTTTCGTGCTTCGAGCAAATGCTGCGTTCACCTCGCCTTGCTCATAAAGCGGCTGTTATGCAGGCTAAAATAGCTCTTCACATTTATAAGATAAGGTGTCATTGATTCCTTAGAGCGGGAAGAGACATTTATAACGTGTAAATAGTCACGAGCTGAAAGGTAACTGACTGATTTGTAACAAGGACTCACCCTGACAAACAAGAAATGATCTCACTTTCCGAAGAGGAACGCTCTTTTAAACATAAAAAAACTTCAAAAATAAGTAAAGGAAGCAAAACAATGAACAAAATAGATTTTTCTTGACTAAGTTATTCCGGCGAGAACAAATGGTGAATGATTCACTCTTGGAAGCAAGCCTCTGAGGAAAAGTGAGAACACCGTTTAGGCAAAACTCTACAATTTGTGTACTTAACTAGCCTGTTCACAGACTCTCTTCATTTTTAGATATCGTCGAGTGCACGTATAAAAAAAAAAGCGCGTTCCGCCCTCTCTCACGAGAAATCGCTTATCTTGTGCGCACCAAATTCCCAAAACAGAAAAACGTCTGTGAGCAGGGTAGTACTTTCTGTTTCTACATATTTTGTCCACGGAGCTGGCAAGTGCAATTAATGACGGCTTTTTTCAGCAGGTCAACGTAGAGCGCTTTGCGGCGAACAGGCTTGGGAGGTACTTCTAATTCTAGTTGCTGACAAATGTTTTGAAGCATTCCAAGTTTAAGTCGCTCCAGAGATCCTCCCTTGGCCATGGCACAGAAATCGTACTGATCGTAAGTGATGGGGTGCTGTAGCGTGATGGATAGGATTGTTTCTCTTGCCATGGTAAAGTTTTCCTCTTCTACTACAGCTTGGATTTCAGCATCGTCGGATGTTTACCGTCGGACCTTCGCTGCAAGACCTGAGAAATATGAAGTACACTGCTGCTGGGTAAGAAACTCGGATACTTTGAACAAACGAACACTATCAGGTCCTTGTGCACATCTCATTTCACGTTACGATATCACCGTCTGGTTTTCTGCCGCTGGTTTGACCAATTGTAAACTTCGCATTTAGATAATCCCTCTGGTTTTGGTTAAAGCGATATGCTTTTTTGCTCGGCTTTAGCGCCCATCATTCTTTGACCTCTAATTCGCCGGATGTAGCCTCTCTTGTATCCCTAAAAGACGCAAACGAAATAACTTGACTGGTCGTGCACTCCTCCAACCTGGACTTGTAGTCTAGTTTGACAAGGTCTATCAAAGACAGTTTCTGGAGACTTGGTGCATTTCTCTAAAGATAGGTGTTTTTCGAGAGATGACAGCCTTTGAAAGACCTTAACACACCCATCCTGAGGGCAGGTAAACACGGATGACGATTCATTTGTATTGTCAGTATGATCATGATCCTGCTCCACTTCCGTCTCTTGCTTCTTCCTTGACTGAGTCGGTTTTGGGCTAAGGGGTTTAAAGTCTCCAGAAGAAAACTCAGATGAAAGCCAACAAATGCCATGCTCTGAAGTAGATAACACATAAAGAAACAAGATTTACATAGACAGCACTGTTCACCTACTTCAATACTTCACTCTGCACAGCCTGTGAAGAGTGCCCCTTTGGTCCACTTTACTTCGCGAACAGATGAAACGTTTGCTTTTTACATCTTCTGACGACATGTTCGTCAGAACCGTCATATGTCCGTTTTAAAAATTTTGTAGAACAAATTAAGCGCTATAAATTTATAAAGGGGCTAAGGGGCTTAAGTCTTTTACAAAGCAAAACCCCACGGGGTGGTAGACATCCGCTCCTCCTGCGTACCAGGATGGGAAATGGATGCCTTTCATGCGTCTGAAGGCTATAACAAACACCTTTTTACTCAAACTGTAAAAAAAATATCTTTTTGCTCGATGAAATAATTCTATGAAAAAACGATGAAATTGTGAATTTTCATTAGACTAACCTTCTGATGTTGTTTCCAATGCGATCTCTTTTGCCTTTCCCATACCATAAGCGCGCCAAGCTACGAGAACTTCGTCTTTAAACTCGAAATTGTTTAATTTGTTGATACCAGTAATCTTTCTGTTGTCATCTACTACTGCTTCCTCTTCAACACTTTGCATGACAGCAACTCGAACTCCCTCTACCCCCCCATGCGAAAGAAGAGCACTCTTCAGTTGTTCGGCATTGGCCACGTCATTTCCTTCGTTTATGAAAGTCCTGACGTGATTCTCGCAGGTTGCAGCGAGCCTGTCTGCGGCACCTTTTCCACCCTGTGGGTCAGAAAAGTCAATGCGCTTGATTTCGATGCCGGTGGAGGAGGATATCACTGGGCATGAGAGTACGGTGGACGACGAATGATGACATCCTGCGTTATCCTAGCGAAAGAACGCCTTGTTAATCTCACTGTGTTCCAGCTTGATGGTATTCAGGACATCCTGCATGATTTTAACCACTGCAGCACTGCCTTGATTGCACGACTGGACTATGTGCAGAAAGCCCTGCCACTGGAGTACCCCGCTCACACGACGGTAGACGACAGAAACGTGCCAGGAGATACCTCGCTTACCAAACCAGTCGGTTTGGGACTCTCTGTATTTTTGTGGCAGGAACTTCATGGCCCAGTCGTTAATTATCAAGACAGTGTTGTCGTCAAGTTTCTCCAGTGCATCTATTCTCGCTTGGTATTGGTTAGCTGATCTAAGGATGTGGCATTTCCAGGACATTATGGCCAGCTGGGCTGTCTGGAATATAAATAGCGCTTCGTCTTTCGCGTCCTGAGTCGGAAAGGTCGTCTCGCCAAGGACCCGTTCAATCTTTGCCAGAGTTTCCTGAAGACTTTGACAACGGTCACAAAGATTAGTGTGTTGGTGA